CCTATTAATTGTTGTAGCTTTATTTTTTCTATTTTTAGTAGTGTGGGGGGGGCATAGGGAAGAATGTGTCTTAACTACTCATGAGGATTTTTAATGGTAAGACAAGGGGATGCAAGGATGAGAGGGGAAGAGATTTCTGTTTTCTATTTGTATGTAATATGTAGTAATACCACTGTTATTCATGTTGGAATTGTTTAATTGGTTGTGGTGGAATGTGGAATGTTCTATTTAGTTACCCGTGGTGGTTTTAATCTCATCCTTCATTCTTCTCCTTGCATTTTAGTCAGTCTGCTCCTAGCATATATTTAATACAAGAAAATTATCTATTAATTTGGGATTAAAATATGAAATTATTCTGATCATTTTGGAGCTTGTGTATTTTGTTGATTAGGAGAGGTTTTGAAGTAGAATCTAGTTGCCTGATTTTTTTTTTCTGTTCCAGGGATAGACCCAGGGGTTTCTACTACTGATCCATAGCTTGAGACCAAAACACTGAATTAATTCACTCGTGTGTGTGTGTGTGTGTGTGTGTGTGTGTGTGTGTAGTTATTTTCAGTGCTGGGGTTGGAATCTAGGGCCCTGTGGGCTAAAAAAAAAAAAAAGTCTAGTTGTATAACTGCCTCTAGTGCTTACATTTTTTTTGCTAATACATTTATTCTATTTTCCTTCCTTCCATATGTACCAAGTACTAGATAATCACATTTCAAGTATTCTTGAAAACCAAATAATGTATCATGTCTGGAAGACAAATGCTATACTACTAAGCCACAAATTCAGCCCCTGATGTGAATTTTAAAAAATCAGTTAGACATACTTATGAACCCCTTTGGTGGAGTGTTATAGAGACAAGAATACTCAAGTTTGTGGCTCGGTTCCTTAACACATGAAGCAGTTGTGCTTCCGTGGTGCTGTCTTAGAGCTGAGGAGGCTTATGGAACTTCCCAGGGGTAATGACACCAACAGTTGTTTCTTCTTTTCCCTTTATATTTAGTTTCCATCATCTTGTCAAATGACCTAGTACTCTATGGCTAGAAATTACAGTAAGTAGGAAAACTGGAATTTGTGGCTTAATTTTTTTTTATTAAAAATTTCCACCTCCTCCCTCCTTCCATTTTTCCCTTCTCCCATTTTTCCCCTCCTCCCATTTCTTTCCCCTTCTCCCCCCCCCTTTCAGTTCAAAGAGCAGTCAGGGTTCCCTACCCTATGGGAAATCCAAGGTCCTCCCCCTCCCACCATTCCAGGAAGGTGAGCATCCAAACAGACTAGGCTCCCACAACCACCGTTAGCCACATTCAGAGTCCGATTTGATCACGTGCTCCATCAGTTCCAGTCCACCTGGCCTTGGTGAGCTCTCATTAGATCTGTCCCACCATCTCAGTGTGTGGATGCACCCCTCGAGGTCCTGACTTCCTTGCTTATGTTCTCCCTCCTTCTGGTCCTCATTTGGACCTTAGGAGCTCAGTCCAGTGCTTCAGTGTGGGTCTCTGTCTCTGTCTCCATCCATCGCCAGATGAAGGTTCTATGGTGATATGCAAGATATTCATCAGTGTGGCTATAGGATAAGGCCAGTTCAGGCACCCTCTCCTCTGTTGCCCAAGGAACAAGTTGGGGACATCTCCTTGGACACCTGGGAACCCCTCTAGAGTCAAGTCTCTTGCCAACCCTAAAATGGCTCCCTTAATTAAGATATCTACTTCCCTGCTTCTACCTTCACCCCTCCTCCATCCCAACCATCACATCCCCCCCAGAGAACTGTTAACCAACCAGTAACACTGGAGTTAAAATTAGAATTGTGGTGGGGACCCTAAAGGTGAATAGAGAATTATGAATCGAGCCATTTCCTTTCTAAGATGTCAGTGAAGCCTTGTCTAATGATTGCTCTTATTTCCTGTAGCCTAGGTTGGCCTTAAACTTCTGATTCTCCAGAGTGCTAAGATAACAGGCAGTTAGTTCTAAGATGTCTTCTCTGTAAGCGGTAGCTCAGAGAGATCACAATGGATATTGTGAAATATTTATAATGAAGAGGAAACAAAAGTACTCCATATCAAAACTTGTGGGATATAGCTCCAGAAAATGCTGCAGTAAAAGAAAATCTCTAACCTTAAATGAAAATGTTGGTAAAGGAAAGAGATGAGAAATGAATTGTCTCTTAACTCAGAAATCTGGGAAAGTAAGTAAAATTAGCTTGAATTATAGAGAAGAAAAAGGTAAAATTAAGTTAGTTAAAATGGATGAAAAAATTCAGAAATAAAGGAAGAGCAATAGGCAAATATTATTTTAAAAATCAATAAATACATAAATACCTTATTTAAAGTTACTAGTTTATTCTCTAGTAAATTGTCACTAAAGACAGATATCTAGTTTGAATGTTGATAGTAGTATAGAATATGGGATCTGAAGGCAGACTGCCTGGCTGTAAACCCTGGCAGTGGCCTTGAGTTTAAGCTCAGGGTGGCTGAACTTCTGTAGATAGGGGAAATGACTTTACCCTCCTGGGCAGCTGTAGAGAGATAGCAAACACTTAGGGTGCTATATGGAATGCAAAACTCTAACCAAGTTTTTTAGTTTTAATCTTATAAAAAATGCAAGAGAAGCTGGGTGTGGTAGTTCACACCTATAATTTCAACACTTGGCGACTGCAGAAAGTGAATTGCCAGTAGTTCAGTATTAGTCTGGGCAATATAGTGAGCTGAGGTTAGCCTAGGCTTCAAAGTGAAATCATGCCTCAAAGTGTAAACCAACCAAAGAACAATGGCAAAAATAACAAAGATACAAGAAAGCAATATTAGACATGGTACTACTAATACAACATATAGATTTCAGAAGTGATCAACTACATTCTAATTTGAGAAGTGGATAAATATATATTTTATTAGAAAAATCAAAACCACTGTAATATATCTAGGAGAAACAAGTTGTGTGGGTAAGCTAAAGATGTTTAATGAAATGAAATCTATAATGTAAATCCCCCTCACAGGGTTCCATTATCATATCTGTAGGAGGCTCCTAATCAAACTGAGGGCTGAAATCAACAAAATAGAAACACGGAAAACAATCCAAAGAATCAATGAAACAAAAAGCTGGTTCCTGGAGAAAATCAACAAGATTGATAAACCCCTATCCAAACTAATCAAACGGCAGAGAGAGAATACGCAAATTAATAAGATCAGAAATGAAAAGGGGGACATAACCACAGACACAGAGGAAATTCAGAGAATCATCAGATCTTATTACAAAAGCCTGTATAACACGAAACTGGAAAATGTAAAAGAAATGGACACTTTTTTAGATAAATACCATATACCAAAGTTACACCAGGACCAGGTGAACAATCTAAACAGACCTGTTGGTCGCGAAGAATTAGAAGCTGTTATCAAAAACCTCCCTACCAAAAAAAGCCCAGGACCAGATGGTTTCAATGCGGAATTCTACCAGAACTTCCAAGAAGAGCTAATACCTATACTCCTTAATGTATTCCACAATATAGAAACAGAAGGGTCATTACCTAATTCCTTTTATGAAGCTACAGTTACTCTGATACCAAAACCACACAAAGACTCAACCAGGAAAGAGAATTACATGAAAAATCATGAACATCGACGCAAAAATCCTCAACAAAATACTGGCAAACCGAATCCAAGAACACATCCGAAATATTATCCATTATGATCAAGTAGGCTTCATTCCTGAGATGCAGGGCTGGTTCAACATACGAAAATCTATCAATGTAATCCAGCATATAAATAAACTGAAAGAAAATAACCATATGATCATCTCATTAGATGCTGAAAAAGCATTCGACAAAATTCAACATCCATTTATGTTAAAAGTCTTGGAGAGATTAGGGATACAAGGGTCATACCTAAATATAATAAAAGCTATATACAGCAAGCCGACAGCTAACATCAAATTAAACGGAGAGAAACTCAAAGCCATCCCGCTTAACTCAGGAACACGACAAGGCTGTCCACTCTCGCCATACCTCTTCAATATAGTACTTGAAGTTCTAGCAATAGCAATAAGACAACATAATGGGATCAAGGGGATTCGAATTGGAAAGGAAGAAGTTAAACTTTCGTTATTCGCAGATGGTATGATAGTGTACTTATGCGACCCCTGCATTTTTAAAAGCGCAGGCACTAAAGTGTAAGGTGACATGCCCGTGTGACAACTTTCTCAATAGAGAATGCTTTAATCCCCTAAAGTATCCTTCCAGAATGAAAATTACCAGAGTACTTTTTATTTCCAGGAATTTTGGAAATGATAGATGTTCTAGAAAGTGTTAATGTGAATCACAGCTAGGATGGAACCTGATAGTTTTCTTTTTTTAAAAACAATTCTCAATATTTTAATTTTGTTTTAACATAATTGTCTGCCATTTTTTTCATATAATTTAGACATAAAGACTATGCTTCCTAAATTCACTTTTTTATCTTTTATGTTAATATACTCAAGATTCACGAAGTACAGGTGAGCAATTTAAATAGACCTATAAGTCCCAAGGAAATAGAAGCTGTCATCAAACACCTCCCAACCAAAACAAGCCCAGGATGGTTTTAGTGCAGAATTCCACCAGAACTTTCAAGAAGAGATAATACCTATACCCCTCAATGTGTTCCACATAATAGAAACAGAAGGTCATTGCCAAACTCTTTTTATGAAGCTACAGTTACCCTGATACCAAAACCACACAAAGACTCAACCAGGAAAGAGGATTACAGACCAGTCTCACTCATGAACATTGATGCAGAAATTCTCAATAAAATACTGGCAAACCGAATCCAAGAACACATTAAAAAATCATCCATTATAATCAAGTAGGCTTCATCTCAGAGATCTAGGGCTGGCTCAACATACAAAAACCTATCAATGTAATCTATCATATAAGTAAACTGAAAGATATTTTTCTTAAAGTATTTTTTAAAGCAATTGAAGATGTTTCATGTAAAAAGGCTTCCTGATTATTTTCAACTAAAACATAAATATATTTGTTTTTTCAGAGACATTAAACCTGACAATATATTGATGGATATGAATGGACATATTCGTTTAGCAGATTTTGGTTCTTGTCTGAAGCTGATGGAAGATGGAACGGTAAATAAATATGAGTTATTCTATCCTTAGACATTTTCCTTGTCTTGTCTTCTTTCTCTGTTCTAGAGACTCTGTGCTTACACTGTCTGCCACCCAGTCATCCATTTGTCTTTCACAAAGCATTGGCCATACTTGCTCAGAGTCATCTTAACCTGCTTGTAATAGTGTCCTTGAGAATGCTGCTTTGAGAGCCTTGTGGATTCTTTTTTAATTAATGCCTATTATACTTGAAACTCTCCTAAGGTTTTAGAGTAGTAAAGATTGTAAGTTTTATATAGAAAATAAAATACAACTCCATCTTCATTTGTCCTTTTTTCTAATGATATAGTTGTTCTGAGGGATAGTGTTCAGCAAATGAATTTTCTTTTTGAGTGAAGACTAGGTAGCATTAGTTTTGTGTTCCCATTTGCTTGACTTTTACTGACGAAATCATTAAGTTCTTGTTCAATTAAAAGTGTGTATTTTCAGATTTTGTTACTTTTTATGTGTGTACACTTGTATGTGTGTGTGCTTATTTCTGGATATGTAATGTGGGTGTATGTGGAGGTCGAAGAACAACTAGGTCCTCATTTCCCACCTTGCTTAAGACAGAGTCTCTTGCCCACTCCTGTGTATATCAAGTTGACACTTCTGGGAGTTTTCCTGCATCTGCCTCCCATATTGCAGTAGAAGATTGGGATTATAGATATGTTGTATCATGTATGACTTTGCATGGTGTTGTAGGGTTTCTGTCACTGTGAAGAGACACCATGACCATGCTAACTTTTATAAAGGAAAAACATTTAATTGTGGTCACTTAGCGTTTCTGAGGTTTACTCCATTATCATCATGGTACGGCATGATGGCATGCAGGTAAAATGGTACTGGAGAAGTAGCCACGTGCCCTACAACTTGACTTGCAGGCAAGAGGAAGTGGTCTCTTACTGGATGTAGTTTGAACATATATGGGACCTCAAAGCCCACCCCGACAGTGTCACACTTCTTCCAATAAGACCATACCTCTTCATAGTGCTACTCCCTTTGGGGGCCATTTTCTTTCAAGCCACCACACATGGGTCGTGGAGAGTCAAACTCGGTCCTCACACTTGCATGGCAAGTGCTCTACCCACTGAACTGTCTTCTCAACCACACTGCTTTAAATTTTCTTTAATTTTTCTTGTCTATTGCAGAGGCCCACATGTATATTAATTTAATTAGCAGGTTTTTTTGGAAAACATTTTAATATAATAAATTCCAGAGCCATGAATGTGTTATCATTATTCTAGACTAATTATTTGACTCTGAAAAATTATCATTAGGTGATTTTGAAAATGCATATGTGACTTATGAATTTGGCCATGTTGAAAGGAATAATTGGTACTGAATTATTCGTCTTACTATAAATGACTATGTTACTAAACACGTTATATAAAACAGCTTTTTCAGACAGTGGATAGCGTTGGCATGTTATAGTTATTCCTAACAGAAAGAAACTCTTGAGATTTGCCAGATTCCTGACTTCCCAGCATTCCTGACTATTCTGACATGGCCAGAGTTAGAGCATAGCATAACATTTTTTTCAGATCTTGGGTCAAGGTACCACAGTTGAGTAGCTTTAGCTGCTGGGATCTGAAAGAGCTGATACTGGCCCTGTGTAAAGGCAGGTCTAAGTTCCTCAAATTAATCATAAAGGCTGGACTACCCACACATTGCACTGTAGATTCATAGATGAGTGATACCCACAGGGACACGGAATAGCAGACCAGAGAGTCAAGCCATGCTGGAAGAGGCAAACCAGCCCCATGAGTTTTGACCATCAACTGCAACATTTTGTATCTACTGGAATGTTTCAGTCTAAAACCAAGCCCTGATAAAGACAAACAGAGCTTGAAAGTGGTCCTGCCAAATGAGGGCCTTACATGCTAACGGCATACCTGTGTCCCACCTTTACTCATTTTGGATCTTGAACCATTGTGTAGTACAGCCTTTACCTATTTCTTATGCATTTTAGAACTGCTTTCTTCTCTTTGGGTTACAAGTAGTCTTATGTTGATTGATTTTGATTCAAATTTTTTAATGTTTAAAAGTCTGGTTTTATGCTGTTCCTGTGTTTTGTTGAGTTAATATGCCTTTGGTGGGATAGAGTAATAGGTATTAATCCTCAAACCAGAGCCTCTTGCATAACTAAGCAAGCACTGCACTTCCGAGGTCTTAACTGAGCTACCAAGGCTGGCTTAGAACTTGTGATCCTTCATTCTCAGCCTCCTGAGTAGCTGGAATTATCTAGCCTGTGCCACCAGGCCTACCTGAGATAACCTTTTACTGTTTACTCATAGTATCCTATTAATTGATTTGGTGATATACTTGTAGTTTTACTTTGTCAGAAAATAGTCCTATTTTATTTTATAGCTTGTGTTTTTTTAAATTTGTTGATATCTACTTTATAATTTTGTAACAGACAACTTTTTGTAAGTATTCCATATTTGTTTGAAAAGAATACATTTTTTCCAACTTTACTAAAAGTAAAGGTTCTATACATGTTCATAATATTGAACTGGTTTTGTATTCATGTTTTATATTCTTATGGGTTTTCTCTAATATCTGTTATTTTAAAATCTTTATGACAGTAGTAGATTTGTTCATTTTCCCATCATAGTTATCAGTACTTTATACATCTCCTTTGTAATGTATTATTTGAAATCACTAAATTTTGCGGGATAGTTTCTTTTGTAATTATATTGATGAACTAAAATAATTTTAATTTGGCTAATACTTTTTTTACTGCTTTAAATTTCTACTGTTTAATGTATAAGTTCATCTTTTATCTCACCACTTTCAACTTATGTGCTTCTGTTTTGTTTATCTTACTTAAATAAATTATTTGACTGCTTTTTCTCTCATTTATGCCTTTGGTTTTATCTGTTTTTCAGTGTTAACTCTCTGTCCTTTGACAGGTGCTTTAATCCACTCTTGGATCTTGTGACTTAATGTAGAGCTTTGTGCTATTTCTGTAGCTTTTGCTTGTTATTTGCATGAGTGCTTTGTTTTCCTCTTTTTCTTTCCTGCTACCTTCTGTCCAGTCAATTTTATCTTTCTTACTCTCTTTATCCTTAGAAGGTAACGTATCTTATTTTATTTTATTTTATTTTTTGAGACAGGATCTCACTATGTAGCTCTGACTGTCCTAGAACTCACTATGTAGACCAGGCTGGTCTTGAACTTACAGAGAACCCCTTGCCCGTGCCTCCCAAGTGCTGGCATTAAAGGCATGTGCTACTCTGCCTGGCTGGTTTAAATATTTTAATGCCTCTCTTTAGGATTTTTAAAACGTTGATAGTTCACATCAGTATAGAATTAGTCATTTTTTTTACATTCCCAATCAAAACCATCAACTTACGTTGCTTTATACCACAGAAATTAATTCAAAATAGTTTAGAGAACTTTATAAAAACTAAAACCCTCTTAGAAAATATAAGGGACAATATTTATGACTGCATTTGGCAAATTTCTTGAGAATAACACAGAATCACAACCCCTCTACCTCAAAATGGTAAATTCTATCCTCCTCAAACACTTGTGTGCATCAAATGACACAGTGGGCAGAAGGAACTCACTTACCTGATTGTGTGCTAAGAATATGTAAGGACAGCTACAGATTCTAATTAAGTTCTGGCCTGCAGCATTTTAACTTCTTCTCAGGCACTGAAGTTAATGAGTCTTGTGAAAGGCTCAGTGTAAGGTGAATTTTTCTCCAGGAGTTTTTTGTACCTAAGCTCAACAACAGAAAAACAGCCTCAGTGAAGAATAAGAGAATTTTCCCAAAGAAAATTTACAGATGAGGAATAAGCATATGAAAAGATACTCCATAAAACCTGTCATTAGAAAAATAAGTCAGAAAGCCTGTGATCCCACCATAATAGCATCTACTGTCCAGTGGGACAGTTGCCGCCAAACCAGAAAACAGCAAGTGTTGTCTAGGGTGTGGATGATTGAGAGCCCTGGGCACTGTTAGTGTAAAATAGTATAGCTAGTTCTTCCACAGATACTAAATATAAAATGATCATTTATTGAATTTTCATCTAACTTGCTGTAACTAGATTTTCAACTTTTTAAAATTAAGAATTTTGATTTTAAAGTTTCTACTTTCCTTCCCTTTTATAATTTTTCCAAATAAGTTTTTTTTATTTGGTTTTATATTTGAGACAAAGTCTATTATAATATCCTTGGCTAGCCTGGAACTTGTAGACAGGCTGGCCACAAACTCATAGAGAGCCATCTCAGTGCTAGTATTTAAGGTGTGTACCATCATGTCCAGTGCAGCTAAAAACTTAATGTACAATAAGTAGTCAACCTTTAGTTTTCTTAGGTTTCTGTTTAGGATTTTAAAATTATCATCAGTGTTAAGATGAATGAATTGTTCTCTTCATATCTAATTGATTTTCAGTTCCATTGTACATATTTATGTATATCTGTTGATTGCATAAATAAATATTAAAAACCAGTAAGAAAACGTAGTAGCATACTATAATCCTAGAACTTGGGAAGTTGAGGCAGGAGGACTGTTGAGTTTGAGGCTAGCCTCAGATATATAGCAAGACCTTGTCTCTGACAACCAAACCAAAATTAAACAGTAATAATGTTGTAAGTGAAGTATTCATTTTATTGTTCATGACTGTAATGACTCAAATCACATTGTTCCCCTAAATACATTCAGCTATAGTAAAGGTCTTATAAAGTTATGAGTAATGAAAACTATTAATGTAGAGGCTATTTAAAATCATTCTACAAACTAGGAGGCTAAATTCAGATAACAAAAATGTTATAATACTGTTTCCTGTATATCTTAAGTAACTGTGTTTAATTTAAAATCATTTGTCCAATACATTATAGTAATAAAAATATGATCTTCTTCAGGTCCAGTCTTCAGTGGCGGTTGGAACTCCAGATTATATTTCTCCTGAAATACTTCAGGCTATGGAGGATGGAAAAGGCAGATATGGACCTGAGTGTGACTGGTGGTCTCTGGGGGTCTGTATGTATGAGATGCTTTACGGAGAAACACCTTTCTATGCTGAGTCTCTGGTGGAGACATATGGAAAAATCATGAATCACAAAGTTAGTATATTTAGTTTTTTAGAGTTTTTACAATAAATACATGCATTAAGTTGAAGTAATGTGATATTAAAGAGAAAGTACTTTTTTCAAAACAATGAAAAGTCATATTCTTTTGATTAGTAGGGAAAATTGTTAGTAATCAATTAATTATCTGTAAGATAATTAGTTTTAAGTTTTCCACGTATTTTGTTTGGAAATGCTCCTAAATAGAAAAATTGGTCTCTATAGTTGAGTAAGAGAATTCAAAAGTAGTTAGTTTTTATTAGTTTTTACTATATAGTACATACAATTTGACAAGTATGCATGTAAAAATTATAAGTAATAAATTTGGTGTGAATAAAGACAAAAACTGAACTCCTCTGAAGCCAGCAAGATGACTCCATGGCTACGGTGTTTGCTTGCAAGCCTGGAGACCTGAGTTCAGTTCCTGAAATGCATGAAAAGATGGAAGGAGAGGAATGACTCCACAAGGTTGTCCTCTGGCCTTCACGTGGACAGCTTGGCACTTATGTACACATGCACACCCATCCATGAACAGACAGACAGCAATCACAGTTTTACTGAAATTCTTCTGTCAAACTGGCAAAGACAACATGCAAAATTGTATTCTGTACTCTATGCAGCATCATGGGTACTCCTCAGATTCTGACAGGGCTACAAATTGTAACTTTCTTTCCCAAAGTTAACAGGTGTACATCTTGAGCCTTAAAATTAGAGCTTTTGATAGAGCAAAGGTTGGGTCTAGACTTCTACCTGGTGGAAATATCTAGAACAAAGGTGTATATGTAGAATGTCTGCTCCAGTGTTAGGGAGCACAAGACACTGACTGCAGTCCAGATGAACTGCAGGAACAAGAGCCCAGCACTCCAGTCATGCAGCGCCATGTGAAACAAAATAGACAGTGCAGAAGAATAAACTGTCCAACTTCAGAGGATTGTGAACTGTTACAAACGTCCTCAGTATGAATCTGAATGTCCCCAGAAGAATAGATAATCTGTCCTTTTTAGTTGGTTCTGGTGCTTTACGCATACAAATCAATTTTATAGACTTTGTGTCTTACACTGAGCTGCCAGCATGGAGCAGTAAGTAGTGGAGAAGAACTGAAAGACAGGGGAAGTTGAAAGTTGTCAATGCATGTGCACATCCAGAAGGAAGTCACTGCAATGTAGCATGCTGCTTAACAGCACTGGTCTGGAGAGAGTTAAGGTCAAGACCCTTTCCTGTCAATTTTTAGTTGAATGGCGTTGAGAAAATGACTATGTATCTTAGCTTCCTCTTTTACAAGACTGTCATCCTAGTAGTTCCTACCCAGTATAATTATTGTGAGGATTAAATGGTTAAATAAGTAAATCACTTTGAATAGTGCCAGATACATGGTAAATTTTTAAGTGTTTTGGGGCAGTGGTTAAGAGCATTGGCTGCTTCTCTAGAGGACCCGGATTCAATTCCCAGCACCCACATGGCAGCTCACAGCTGCCTGTAACTCAAGTTTCAGTGGATCCGACTCCCTCACAATGATATGCAGGTCAAATACCAATACATATAAAAATTTTAAGTGTTTAATGATTAACTGATATTTTGTATTGTACCTGAACATTGTCAGTAACCTACATTCTTTTGAACTATTGAGTTAAATTCTGATACTTTTAATCAGATCCATCTCATTTTAACATCAGTTTCAGATCCTATAGCGTCTGACCTCATTTTGTAGTTCATCCATCATGAAGTCACTTAAAGAATTAAAAGTTATTTTAGGAAAAGGATTTATTTCTCATCATCCCTGTATCTCCCCACAATATCAATGTACTGTGTCATCAAACCCTAGTTGTTTTTCCAAAGGAAATGGGTTTAAACAAGTTTACCACCCTTTTGTAAGAAAACGACTGATTTGTATTTATATCTTATATTGTTGTCTGCATAGGAGAGGTTTCAGTTTCCACCCCAAGTGACTGATGTGTCTGAAAATGCAAAGGATCTTATTCGAAGACTCATTTGTAGCAGAGAACATCGACTTGGCCAAAATGGAATAGAAGACTTTAAGAAACATCCATTTTTCAGTGGAATTGATTGGGATAATATTCGAAACTGTGAAGCACCTTATATTCCAGAAGTCAGTAGCCCAACAGATACATCGAATTTTGATGTGGATGATGACTGTTTAAAAAATTCTGTAAGTATGACATTATGAAGATGTCCTATCCTTCTTATTCTTTTAAGGATGGTTATAAAGTAACATTTTATTTATTAATTTGGTGCCAGGACCATTTTTCTCTTATCAATCACACAGTAATTATAAGTTCCAGTGCTTATTCTGTCATGTATCAAAAAAAATTAAGAGACTTAATTAAATTCAGTGTAGTTATCATGACCAGAAGCAAAATTCAAAGACCTGTTGTTTAGCAAATTTTGTCATATGTTTACTAAAAATACAAGATTAGACACCTAAAAAGTGTATTTCATGATTTCAAAGTGAAGAAGATGACAAACCCCTCCCTAAAACCAACCATGAAACTGGAAACAAATGGCAACACATGTAAGGGCTTATTATAACCAAAAGGAAATAAAGAAGTATTTATTCATCAAAAACTACTGAACTTTATATGAAACCATACATGCTCCACCCCCTCCTTGTAGACAGAAATTTCTGTCCCACAGCCATTCGGTCCCAAGTAAACACACAGAGGCTTATATTAATTATAAACTGTTTGGTCTGTTAGCTCATGCTTATTACTAACTAGCTCTTACAGCTTAAATTAACCCATAACTTTTATCTATGTTTAGCCATGTGACTTGGTATCTTTTTTCAGTAAGATTTTCATCTTGTTTCCCCTGTGTCTGGCTGGTGACTAACACTCTTTCTTTCCTCTTCCCAGAATTCTCTTAGTTTTGTTGCCCCTTGTATACTTCCTGCCTGGCCACTGGCCAGTCATCTTTTTATTAAACCAATACGAGTGACAAATCTTTGCAGTGTACAAGAGCATTATCCCACAGCACCTACCTTTTACCCCATCACCTGTTTGGTTGTACTTAAACATTGAACAAAAAGCTGACATTTTACTGCCAGGCAGCCAAACTTTATTTGGAAGGCTCAAACCCAACACCCATATCATTGCCACTAAAATAGCCAGCTGGGTAGGAAATAAATGTGTAAAGTCAGTCTGTAGCCTTCCTTACCTGAGTTTGTGTCTCTGCCTGAGCCAAATAGTTTTCTCCTCTGAGCTCATGGACTATAGGAAGGCTATATCATATTGTGTTGATCTTGCTCTGAATCACTAGGTTATGTAGATTCAAATGTAAGAAAATAAGAACCTAAAATTTTGGTGTTTTTTCTGTCCTTCTTATCATAAGCTGTCAATTTATTCAGTAATTTTATATTTAATTTTAGTTCAGTACTAAATTTCATATTAATTTTATGTCACTTTTTACTGTAATTACTATGTTTAAGATGAATGTGAGCTGTTAACCTGTTCAAACTACACAAGAACAAATAGATGAATTTTCCTTCCAGTTTTTTAATTATATTCAATGTTGACAGAAATTCTGAGTCATTCCAAGTTAAGTGTGCATGGAGTTGATTTTAATTATTCACACTGGCTGTATTTTATAAAGTTATAGTGAACACCAAGTTAGTTGACATTGACCATTGTGCTGTATAAATAAAAGATTAATGAGTTCGTAGGAGAGTAGGGAGCGGGTATATGAGAGGGGTTGGGCCAGGAAAGGGAAGGGAGAAATGTAATTATATTATAGTAACCAAAAATTAAAGAAACATCAAGTTAACCTTATGTTAACATAGGTCACATTTTCAACAACTTTGAATATAGAAGCCTTTTAGATGTACTCTATTGAAAGATATGTTATATAGTAATATACACCGTTGATTCATTAACACTGAACTCATATCTAACAGCACTATAACTTACTCCTAAAAGAGTTCATCTAACACATGTTGTTTCTCTATAAAGGCACATGATTACCATTTTATGTTGCGACATGAGATGGCAGTCAGTGTGGTACATACCTATAATGCTAGTGCTCTGATGGGAAGGGATGAGTTCAGGCTTAGCTTGGGCTGTACAGCAAGACTTTCTATTGAAATTTTAAGAAAAATAAAAGCAGTTATCAGACAGCACTTCTGGGAGCTATTTTAAACAGAGATACTATCATAAAAGGCATAAAAATGTTTATAGAGTGTGCCAAGGACATTTGCTTCAGTGTGAGAAAATAGGAGCATTCCACATTCAGTCTCTGCAGGAGGAGCAAAGGACAGTGCACATCCTCTACTTTCCATGCTTCTTCAGTGACCACATAAGCCCTGATTTTCCACTTGCAAATAAATTTTCGTTTTAAACTGTGTGTGATGAAACAGGCCTATAATTTCACTCCTTGGGAGGCAGACAGAAAAATCATGAGCTTGAGGCCTGTCTGGGCTACCCAGTGAAGCCTTTTCTCTGGGGAAAAAAAAGCTAGACAAATTTTCAGATGTAGTATGCTTGAATAATGACTATAATTTTATTGTTAGGCTTTTAACTTTATTTGTTTGAGTTTTCCAGTAGTAGTGCTTAGAGTCTATATTTTGTATCAGTGAACACTTTCCCAAATTTACCACTGTCTCAAAATTGAATGGTTGCATATCCTCATTGACAGTTATAGTCCAACTTATCATAATAACTGTAGATGTCTCACCAAATTGATATTCTTTTTATCTTCTCTTAGGAAACAATGCCTCCACCAACACATACTGCATTTTCTGGCCATCATCTACCATTTGTTGGTTTTACGTATACTAGTAGCTGGTAAGTTTCAAAAATTAAGATAACGTGAGTAATTTATAAACAAGTAAATTGAAGCTTGAAAATGGTATATATACGGTTGTAGTTATGGTGTATTGGAGCTGGATTTAAATGTGAAGAAACTACCCAAGAACCAACTATTTGGAGGAAATGATGAGGACAAGTAGCACGAAAGTCGAACCCATTGGGAAGAGGGCAAGAACCAGCGCCAAGACACTTAATGAATATTTTGTATATGTCAAGCACCAAAATTTCCAACCCATTGTTCATACCACTCATTACTCCTCACCCCATTTCTGTCCTCCTATTCCTCCTTCCATGCCCCATAAGAATTTCAGTAATCATTTCCTGGGTGCATGACAGTCCCTTTAGTTATCTCTCATCTGCTGCACTTTCTTTGTTGAGAGAATGTTCTTTATTTAAAATGTAAGCAGTTCAAAGTGGCTGGAGCAGACAAATGGTTCTAAGCAACCAAGCTAACTTTACATCGAGGGTTGCCAGTCTAAATACTCTATCCTATGTGACAAACACCGAATCACCTTAGTTTCTTCTGCCCTGTACATACCAAGGTAACCATTTAATATTTCATTCTTGCAAATATTGATCACCCTTATTCTCAGCTGATGATGATCTTGCTTCCTCCATCCCTGATAATTGTTACCAATCGCAGACAACTGCAAGTTCCTGCTACTGTTTTCTATGTGTCCCCCAGACTCACAAGCTCTTCCTTCCAAGGATGGACCATGTAGATGCTTGGCTAGGGCTGGCTCCTTCCATTCCCTCCTGCTTGGCTTAATGTATTCACTTTTATGTCATACATTTTTCTCCTTTATGTGCCACCCACATCTTTATATCCTGCCAACTATCTTACCAGACATGTAATTATTTCTTCCATCTTAAAATATAAAGCCTTTCTGGATCTCGTACCTGATACCAATTATTTCTCTGGTGTATAACAAATTACTTCTCTTGACTCTTCTTTTTTTTATACTAATCTTTCTTGAATGCACTCATTTCAGGTTGTGCCCAGTCTCTTCATGCAAACTGCTTTTACCAGCACCACTGTTGGCTCGTTGTTAACAGGTGTAGTGATTACTTCTAGTCCCAGTCTTAGTTGACTTTTTTTACCTCTGCCACTGCTCCATACGAAAACACTTAACTTTGTGTCCATTTCTCAGTCTCCAAACAAGCCCTCCTCTCCCCAATTTCTGAGGATCCAAGTGTTCTAGGGCTCAGCCGTGGAACTTCCCCTATACACTTCCTAATGACATGAGAGCTCCTTACCTTTTACTTAAAACATGTCTTAACTGTCTAAGTAACATGTTCATAACTCCTGATATTTCCTACATCTATCAAAATTGCCCTGTTGGAAGAGATAAGCCAGTCTGTTCTCCATGTTCATGGCCATTTCCCTCTACTCCCCAGTTCCTGTTTCTTTGTATCCTAAGAATTAACCAACTATCTCTTGTCATCTTCTCATACGCATCATACTCATCCAGTTGTTTGCCATGTTCCTTTTACACAGGCCTCCTTAAGGCCCAAGAGCCTTGTCTTGGGATGCTCAGGCTTCTGTCCTGGACTGGTCTTCATCCTAATACTTCCTTGACTGGTGCCTTACATTGACTTTCCTTAGCTACCTGCATAAGCACAGCTTACTCCATTTAAATTTCTGTCTTCTCCTTAGCAGTTAATACTTTCTAATGTACTGGATATTTTATGTACTTTCATTTATATCCCCGTTGCTAGAATTTAAATGATTGGCAAAGAATTTTGTCAATCTAAAACCTTTTTACATTATAATACAATTACATCATTATGCTCTCCCTTTCCTTCTTCCATTTTCTTCTCCTGTCCACTCCCTCCAACTCCTCTCGTTTTGCTTCCCCTCTTCCCAAATTGATGGCCTCTTTTTCTTTGATGATTATTCTCTCTCTCTCTCTCTCTCTCTCTCTCTCTCTCTTCTGAGTCTATTCAGTGTTGTTTGTGTGTATATGATTTCAGGGCTGACTCCTTGGTTTTAGATAAACAATTAGGTAGCTCATTTCTCAGGAAGACTAATTTCTCCCCCTCAGCTATCGTTAGTTGCTTATGGTTCTGTGTCTAGGGGCGATTTACTGATAAATGTCCACCATCTCAAATATCTTTAGTGTGCATTCAGAAAAGCACCTCACTTTAAAGTTTTGAATTTCAAATTCTATTAATGAACACATACAGGTGGTTTTGACTACTGTTTCAATAAACTTGTCAAATTGTTTTGAATTCCTAATAATCCTTCATTAAACTTTATTTTATAATTTTTGGAGTTTTAAATTTAAAAATAGTTTGGTGATAGGAGTTTTTATTTAAAAATATTTTTACAAATAAAGTAATTTTCCAGAAAAAAATATAGTGCTTTTATAGGATTCTAGATGTTTTACTATAGAAATTCAAATCTGTATCTTACATAAAGATTTTAAAATTCTTTTTTTCTTCAAACTTTATTGCAATATGAACCAACTTTTTTTTTTTCTTTGATTCAGTGTTCTTTCTGACCGGAGCTGCTTAAGAGTCACAGCAGGTCCCACCTCACTGGATCTTGATGTTAATGTCCAGAGGACTCTAGATAATAACCTAGCAACTGAAGCTTATGAAAGAAGAATTAAGCGACTAGAACAGGAAAAACTTGAACTTACTAGAAAACTTCAAGGTAAATATTTTAATATTTTACTTATTTGAATTGAACTTACAGTGTTTTGAGCTACATTATAAGGGAATGTTTTACCTTCAGAAGTCTTTTTGTAAATGGTAAAAAAAAATGTGCTGTAGAAATGAGTGCAGAAAAGAGTATAATACCGTTTATGTAAACATATCACACAATAGTAAACAACACAATGATGTTTATTTCTATAATGATGTGTATTTCTACAGGTCTGTCAGTTTATGGAATAGAATACCTCTGGGGTCGGGAGACTGGAACTGTCAGGAAAAAAGTACCCTTCTCACACTGCCATAAACTCTTGTGATTTTTCATACCATATATGACCAGTCTTTATACACTGTTACCATGACATTCTGTGATGGTCTAAAGTACACTCCAATACTCTTACATGTTCACTTCTTTTTTTTATTTAAATTTATTTATTTATTAAGGATTTCTGCCTCGTCCCCGCAACCGCTTCCCATTTCCCTCCCACTCCCCCGATCAAGTCCCCCTCCCTCATCTGCTCGAAGAGCAATCAGGGTTCCCTGACCTGTGGGAAGCCCAAGGACTGCCCACCTCTATCCAGGTCTCGTAAGGTGAGCATCCAAACTGCCTAGGCTCCCACCAGGGATTTTGATCTCTCTGTATCCTGCTCAGATTCACAGAATCCCGCAATCAACATTGCATAGTTTTTTGCATCCTCCTTTCTCACTCTGATCAGTGATTTTTCTCTTGCTCCCTCATTCTCTGCTTTCCTTCGGAGGCTTTTTCTGTATTTATGTAAGGATGCCCTTGCTTCCTCTGTTCTCTCTTGTGCGTGTTTTGCTCCTCATTCAAAGTGTCTGTTGATTTCTGCATCTGAGTTGTCTATGAGCTTGCTACTATCTGTCTTTTCTCTTTGATTATTGCTCATATTCTCCCACTGTTCCAAATGCCTTGTAAGTTTAATTGACTAAGATGAGTGAAAATAAGAGACAATTGAGTTAATACTATTTTTACCTCAGAAAATGTTTTCCCACTCTTCATCCAATCAGTAATTGAGTCTGAACAAGCCTGGATAGCAATTTTTATTAAATATAGTCCAACTCTAATGTCAGATGTGAAGGAAGGATTAGGTAGAGCCTGGTAGGCTCTCTTTCTCCTTTATTCATAACTAGGGAGATTTGTTCTAGTCTTCGACATCCTTGTCTTACTATTTCCAAATCTAAAAACAATAAATAAATACCTTGGTGAGGAGACTGTCTCTGACTTGATGCAAATACAATAGCTATACTAATAGGACAAGAATGCCTTCTCTCAACATCCTAGTCCTTAGCCCCACATTCTCTAGGAGACTTGGTTGTTTTTCTCAGCATAATAGTCCTCAATTTTAGGGGACTAGCAAGATGGTCTAGTAAGAAAGGGCCCCTGTTGACAAGCCTAACAACTCAAGTGTAATCCTTGGAACTCCTGTGGTAGAAGGAGAGAACTGACGGTTGACAACTGTCCTCTGTCTTCTATGTGAGTGCAATGACATGTGTACCCTCACATGTAAAACACTCCTCCAAAAAAGAAAAGTTGAAAATCCCTCAGTTTAAGTCAAACTTCAACCAGGACAAAGCTCTAGGTTAGAGCTGTTGAGACTGCCTTTCATCTTAGAATGGCTTACTCCTCTATGATTCATTTTACTTGGTCTTTGCTTTCACAAGTCCATTGTGGTTTCACAGAGAAGATTTTTTAATTGCTTAATTTTATATTTCAAAATTATTTAGTATATTTTTACTGGTTACAAAAGGAACAATAGAGCAATAGCCATTCCTGTTCCATTTCATAACAAATGAGGGCTTTCTATACCCCGGTATGTACTGTGGTTTTGATGTCTGAGTTCTTTAATTTTTTCTAAGACAGTGTTGTTACACATGAGTTACGGTATTTGGGAAAAACAAACTGTGTTGACTAAGCTGTCTTCCAAGTCCCGAATTTAAGTGTCTTTTAAATAAACTAAAACAGTGAATGTTCTTTTCCAAATAAATACAACAGAATCAATTTTAATATGTATTGGACCTAAATAAAAATATTTTTTAGATACCAAAGTTATGATCAGATATATGGTGTAGTATATCTTATACTTTTTATTCAGGCTAAGAAATGTTTTTCAGTGACCATAAATGTCAGGGTCATGACATATTTTATCTATGTGTGTGATTTGTGTTAATTCACCAAGAACTACACTAAGAGGGGCCTTATTTTGGAGCCCTTTCCTAAATAGCAGAAAAGCTGTTTTAGGACAAAGGATGGTTTCATTTGTGATATAAAATGTTCTTCTGTGTCTGTTGGGAAAACCCGGGAAATAAGTCTTATTACAGTGTTCATATTTCGTTTTACATTTCATTTTCTACATACAACTTCAAGATAAATTGATCTCTATTTCTATCAAATGTTTTAACTAAATTGATAATCTAGTCACCTATAGCTAGTCCTTTAATTTCCTATGTAAAATCCAGAAGGTCTCCATGTCCGCACACTATGTAACAGTACATCTAAACATTTCTTCATGTCTTATTCAGTTCTTCATGTTATATGAAATATCATTATTTTTACTCTTAAGATGATGGTCTCTGCTAGGAAAAAAATCATAAAAGTCTGAATAGTTAATTTTTGTCATAGTTGGTCAGTAGTACTTCAAGCCCCAAATCTCATTTATAGAAAATTGAGTCATTCAACTCTATGGATTTGGATATCTTGCTTACAAACTTAAACAGATGCAATAGAACTGTATGCTTTAATGTATTCTTAAGCAGTTTTTTTTCCAATGAGTAGATGTTCTGATCAGTGAAACTATTTTTAAAAATGTGTAGAGATATATTGACATTAGTTTTAAAAAATTTAAGTCTCTGATTTTTTTCTTTAATTCTTTTTTTCTTTTAGAGTCAACACAGACTGTTCAGGCTTTGCAGTATTCAACTGTTGATGGTCCACTAACAGCAAGCAAAGATTTAGAAATTAAAAGCCTGAAAGAAGAGATTGAAAAGCTAAGGAAACAAGTGGCAGGTAATGTTCTGAGGTTCATCATTAATTTAGTAGATTTTAAGAAATGGTTTTACTCATGCTTAACTGTCTATTGAGTCTTGTTGATGTTGTGTGTTATGAATTATATGGCATTGAAGAAAAGGCAAATAAAAATTAGTTTTGGTTTCATGGAGTTCATAATTTGACCCAGAAAGTAAATATTTACGTCACCATTGCCACACAGGTGAAGGTGCTTTAAGAAAAGTAGAAAAAAGTTACTTAGAGAAAACACACCCACCTAGAGAAAACAAAGATTACTAACATAATTAATTTAGTGTTAGAATTTGCCTGGAAAATTATATATATGAGTGTAAAGTAGATGTGATATTTGAAGAAGAAAAGGGCTTCTGCAGACAAGAGAATAGCACATATATAAACATCAAGTATCAAATCATATATATATTGAGGGCTATAAATTTCTCTTTTAGTATTGACATACTGTGCCCTACAAAATTTCAGTATGTTGTATTTTCATTTTTTCTCAAATGCTTTAAATTTTTTCGTTTTGGTTCAAATTGAGAAGTATGTCATTTACTTTGAGTGTCTGAAGAATTAACCTATATTTCTCTAACTGGTTTTGCAATACCCTTTATGATTTCAGTTCTTTGTTTTATGCCTAAGATATGGTTATCTTAACCTATATGCTCTGGGCACTTGTGATAAATGTGTATTCCTGCTATTCTAGATGGTTTGTTTTAGAAATATTTATTAGATCCCATTGGTGGAGAATATATTTGAGATTTTCTATAGCCCTGTTGGTTTTCTATTTAGTTACATTATTGATTATTAAGACAGACATGATTTCCCTCTTGTTGAGCAGGCCTTACGTCTAATTAGATAGCTGTAGGTTGCTGCTAAGATGTGAGTGCCACTACTACACCCTTAGGAATATCTTGCATGCTGGTTGTTGTGGTTCCTAGACACACTGACATCTCTTCATTGCCAGGTGGAACAGACGTATTCTTCCCAATTTGTTCTCCACTGACACTCTGGGAACCTCATAATCTTTACTAGTTGTTTTTGTTATTGTTGTTATTGTTTTAAAATGTCACCTTTGTGGGTGCACTTTGGCATTCTCATTGAATTTCAGTTGGAAATTCAAATTTAGCTCCCATGGTTGACAGGGGTCAGCATAGGAATACAGAAGTTTCAGAGATCTGCCTGGCTCTGCCTCCTGAGAGCTGGGATTAAAGGTGTGCACCACTGTGTCATGTAGGTTGCTGTGATGTTTAAGTCAAATATAACAGTAATTTTCTATGAGTTTTTTGTTTGTTTTATTTATCTGTTGTTAATGATTTTGGAGCATTTTATGGCCCACTTAATGTAATGCGGAGACCTAAGGTATCAGAAACTTAGGGTCATCAAAGACTAAGCTGGGGTAGTAGCTCTGAGTTTGTTGTTTCATCCTAATGGAATTTAAGGGTAGATATTTCTTGTGCATGAACATTATGGCCAACAGCCTTTGTCAAGCCTTTATTTTCCTTTATCCTGGAAAAATGAGATGAATTTCCAAGAGTTGGGAAGAGAACCAAAGAATAGAAAAAGTTGTTGAATTTCCTTTTTCCAGGTGTTTTATAGGGCAGTGGCAGAAACTGGACAAAAACAGGTGTAATCTCTTTTTTTATTGGTTAATTGCTTGGGGCCATCAAAGGTTAAACCAATAGAAGATCCATATGCTCTGTTCATGTCCTCTCTGAACCAACCAAGGAGATCATGATGTTCTGTTCGTGCTTGCTCACACACAGTTAGGAATAGTTGAAGCCCACATTTATCCATCTCTGACTCTGGCTTAATTATTGACCTTGACTGGTTATTAGCTGTTAAGTTACTTGAATACCATTACAACCTTTTGACCTTGCTGGTATCTTGCTAACTGTTCATTATATTAAACTGTATTTGTTTTCAGAACCACTAAAATGTATATAGAGTGTTATTGGTTAGCTCTTTTTCTATGGGGTGGTCTGGAATTTCTTTCATGAAACAGGTCCAGCACTTTAGAAGCCATTCTTTCTTTTTACTTAGTCTGTTATAAGTTATTTGCATTAGAAACAGTGTATTTTAAAAGCAAGACTATGTAATAAACAATAGTGCCTTGCTTGTTTTTCCCAAAGGAAAAATGTCTCATGGAGGTTAGCCAGCTGACCTGACATCCTTGGCCTTGCTTCTTCAAACCTGTTTGTCTCTTATCTGCTTGACTATTTTATACCAAGCTACATGCCTTCTAATTAATTTTCCTTAGTATTCCAGGCTCTGTGATTTTAACCCTTAATGTTCCTTTAAAATCTAACTGCTTTTCTCTCTAAACCATAGGAAAATAATTTTCAGTTCTTCCCATGGCCCTTATCTCTTTCTCTGTGTGAAAGCGCTGTCTTCTTCCTCCCTAACAGTCTCTGACAATCCTGTCTTGATTCTTTGGCTAAGAAGACCAGGATTTGCGGGGACCCTACTCTGTTCCTTATATGTGTTGACTTTTCTAGGTTGCCATCTTACTAAGGTCCAATTCTGGGATAAATGAATAGAAAACCTGGGAACTCACTACTGTATTCCTCAGGCCTCAGCGTTCCAGCTTCCCTCACCACATTTCATAGTTCTTACTACTTATTCATTGATCATTTATTCATTTTTAAATAGAATGCCCAGGATTTTCATTTGTTCTAATGGGAAACATATCAATTATCATTCCCAAAAAATAAAAATCACCAGAGTCAGCTTTTTAAGATATTATCTGTTTTTCTTACATATGCATGCATTTATTTTCAGGGGATTCTCCTGGCCTCTAGGAAAAAGTAAGAATTTCTCAATGCTGATTAGAAGTCTTTCACTGTCCTGCATGTGTTTGGATACACAGCTTCCTAGTTCTGGATGGAGAGGGGAGGGCTTTGGACTTCCCACAGGGCAGGGCACCCTGACTTCTCTTAGGACTGGAAAGGGAGGGGGGAGGATGAGTGGGAGGAGTGGGAGGGAAATGGGAGGAGGGGAGGAGGTGGAAAATTCTAATAAATAATTAAATTTTTAAAAACCCAAATCAGTATTTGTTGATGAGTAAACTGTCACTTCTTTGAAATCCTGTCTACCCTTTCCCTAAGATTTCTGTCTCATTGTATTACTATTAGGCATACCTGACAAACTTCATTCTCTACATAGCCCATGGAGAGTACCGTCCTATCTGGGCAACTTGTTATACTAGTTCCTTCCGTTCCTGCCTTTGCTTCATTCCTGCTGTCCTCTAAATTCCACACTTGCTGGGCTGCTCTTGACTTACACATTAAAAATCATTTCCCAATGGCAGAATAAGATTAGAAAAATTAGTAAAAATACTGTTAAGAGAAAGGGTTAGTCCTCTTGTTTTGGAATTGTTCTTACCTTACAGGTTTTCTTGTGTTGGATATGTAACAGTCAGTCCTGTACTGTTTCATTATGTTTCTCTAATACCTGTCTCTCCCTCCATCCCTCCATCCCTCTGTCCTCTGTCCTTCTGTCCTTCCCTCCCTCATCTTTTAACTTTTTAAATTGTGGTAAAATATATCTATCGAAATGTATTGCTTTAACAGTTTTTAATATTTCATTGAGAAATATTGAGCACTTTCACATCTTGTACAATTGTTAACCACCATTTGTCTTTTTCATCATCTCAAAACAGAAACAAAATGAAATAATAACTATTTTTCTACTGCCTCAAGCCTCTACTTTATTCTTCCATAAATTTCACTCTTTCAGAAACTTTATATAATAGAACTACCCAGTATTTGTTGTTTTGTGTTTGGCTTATTTCACTTGGTGTAATGTTGTCAAGGCTCATCTATGTTGTAGGATGTTTATATTAGAAATGTCTACTTTTTACTTTTAAAATGCTGAGCAATGTTCCATTTATATTCATATAATAGATTTTACTTTTGCCTTCATCTGTCACTGGATATGTAGGTTGCTTTTGCCTTTTGACAATGGAAAATAATGCAGTTATGAACACAAATTTACACTTTCTGGCCAGGTTCCTGTTTTTACTGTTTACTGTTTCACCCCATAGTGAAATTGTAGATCATATATTTTTTAAAAGAATTTCTATTCCATTTCCCATAGCAGATATACAGTTATTCATGCCCACTGTTAATATTCATGCATTTTTTAAAAAAATTAAATGAATTCACTTTGTTCTAATTAACTTATAAATGAAAGCATAACATAACTAGTTTAAGGAAGCCCCTGGACCAGCCCTAATCTCTCTCCACCTCTGGAAACTTGTATGCAGTTAGATCAGCCATTCTCAACATTTCCAGTGAAGCTCTAGACTACCCACATGCTTTATTTCTTGTATTTTTAAATGATTAGTATTGTAGGCTTCATGATGGAAATTAAAGTTTCTAACTATCCATGCAGTATGTGAAGACAAAATAAAGTTTGAATGTGGTTATTAAGTATTAAGTTTTCTTTATATGGGACCTGAAGGTGCATACCGATGCACATAGATTTACTGCTGTGAGTTTCAAGTCTGTTGTTAGCATCTCACAATAACATACTTGTAGTGTTCTTAAAGCAGACCTTTCTTCATAAAGGAGTATGAATGACAGCTATCTCTTATGAAAACCCAATAGCCTGATGTACTGGCATCTAAAATATTATATATAATTGATGCAAGTTGAATATATGTCTTGATTTTAATAAATATAGGCTCATTTTGTATATTAGTTTAAAATAATTTAATAATAACTTTGATTTTAGAACAAATCCTGTTATTTGGCAGTAACTTTCCAATTGCATAGTCTTAGGCAACTTATTCAGAATTTGCTAAATCTGTTTCATATAATTTTCCCAAATGAAAAGAATTACCAATATGCCTTTTAATCCAAAGGATGGGGGAAATAAAATTTGCTCTAGGTAAATACTGCTATTATTCTGGTTTTCATTTGTTTAGATTGTATATCTGAATTAAAGTTTTGTTTTTTTTTTATTTTTAGAAGTTAATCGTTTGGAACAACAACTTGAAGAAGCTAATTCTGTGAGACGAGAGCTAGATGATGCTTTTAGGCAAATCAAGGCTTTTGAAAAACAAATCAAAACTTTGCAGCAGGAAAGAGACGAGCTAAATAAGGTATGCATATATGAATGGATCTTTAAAGCTGTTTCTGTATGTTTCATCTTTTATAACTAGAGTATTGGAAGTATTCCTAATAAATGACTATATATTTTCTATAGAAATTTGAAATGAAATTTTCATGCTAACCTAAAACATTAGTTTTAAATGATTTATTTTTTTAAAGATTGATTTTATTTTCAACTATGTGGATCTGTGGGGTGGTATGTGCTCATAAGTGTATGTGCCTGTCAAGGTCAGAGGCATTGGATCCCGCGGCACTGGAGTTACAAGCAGTTATAAGATGCCTAATACATGTGCTGGGAACTGAACTTTGGTCCTCTGCAAGAGCAGAAGGTGCTCTTAAACACTGAGCCATCTCTCAGTCCCCTACATTTTTAATAATTATTTTGGTGTATGACATTCTGTAGATAAAGGTTGCTTGTGTGTTTTCTGGCCACCCAAGCCCAAATAATAGCACAGAAATGTTATTAATTAAAAATTGCTTTAAGCCAATAGCTTAGGCTTCTTGTTAACTAATTCTTCCAGCTTAAATTAATTCATTTCTATTATTTTATATTTTACCATGAGGTTGTGGTCTGCCGGTAAAGTTCTTGGGTCTGTCTCCTCTGGTGGCTATGTGGTATCTCTCTGACTCCGCCTTCTTTTCTATGCTATCTCTGCTTGAAATTAACACCTTGTTCTGCTCTTCAATGTCATAAGCCCACAGCAGCTTCTTTATTAACCAGTGGTAATAAAAGACATTCATAGCATATAGAGGGGAATCCCACATCAACATTCTTCATTAGCTAGTAATAGGGAACTCAAATTCTTGAGGCTTTAAAGTAAAAACTTTTTGTTTGTTTGGAAAGTTAAAAGCTTTGACTTAGAAAGAAATGTTACTGAAAAAGACATAAAAAAAACAAATAGTAGAATCTAATGTCTAAGAGCTAGTTCCAGGACAGGCTCCAAAACCACAGAGAAACCCTGTCTCGAAAAACCAAAAAAAAAAAATTTAAATATAGATTTTAGATTGTAAATGATATTTTAGTTTTAATTTATATTTTATAATGTTTAATGTCATGTATCTGACACATGTTTTATATTTTTGTTATAATTTGCCGATATGCACATTAATAGGTTATAATTTAAAATCTCCTTTATAATTTATTCATTCTTTAAATATCATTTTCTTTTTCAAAGCAGTATGGGGGAAGAAAAGCTAGTCACTTTTATAAGAACTTTGTGTAACATTTAAATGGTAGTAGGCATTGCCACAAAATCTATTCATAATTAAGATTATAGAACAGCCCAGAAGACAGTAGGAAAAGACTTGAACCACATGTTGGTAAGCACCATGAATGTCATTAACAACGGCAGACTTAGGACTAATGGCAGTGTAGGTAGTAGTTTCTGCACAGAGTAAATTTTATTTAATGATTTGATATACAAAGTACTGATTAATGTAGAATGAAGTCCTTATGGGCGTAAATTATGTCTTACTACCAGTAAAAAATGGAATTAAAATAAAATAAGCTTATGCTAATCAGGGAGCTATTACAAATGAAATTGAATTAGATGAGCACAGTTTTGTTTCTACTTACTGCAATATTGAGTTTTGGTTTGTGTAGATGCATCTAAACCTGGGGACAGTGTAATAGCACTTGGCAATTATGACTGCAGTTCTCTTTCCTATAATAATAATGTAGTAATATTAGTGGTTTATGAGTTTCTTTGTACTGGTAGTATTATACAGTCAAATTTAGCTAACATAATAAACACAAAAATCCAATATCTTGATTTTTAGGAACAAGTTTATTTTTGACAATTTTGAGTACATTTTAATGTTAACAATCCTGTTAGTATATTTTAAAAATATGTTAGTGTCAAAAAGAAGTGTTATACCAGTAAGGTATAATAATAAAATAATGAATAAAGATTTGGTTAATGGCCTATGGGCATGAGGGAAAGCAATTTCATTTTCTTTGCATTCTAACCAGTGCTTACTTGCTTTTGCCCTTTTTGTAATAACCATTCTGACAGTTGTAAAATGATATCTAATTCTGGCTTTGATTTTTCATTTCTGTGGTAGTTAGTTATCTTGACTATCTCTTTATATAGCTGTTGACTTTTTTAAGTTTTCCTTGGATCACTGTCCACTTAGGTCCTCTGCTTATTTTTAATTAGTTTAGCAAAAAAAATTTTTATGGTAATGCTAAAATGTTTTCTGGTATTCCAGTTTTTATATTCTTTTATATAATACAGAAGTTTCTATGTTCAATGACGTTTCATATGCTGCATTTATTTGTCTTAATCAATCTGTATTCAGACTTTGGTCTAACATGACCATGTAGTCTACTGTGCACTTGTCTAATTTTTTCAATGGTTATATATCTTTAACTACATGCCTCTTCATCATTTTATGTTATTTCTTTTACAAAATGTACGTGTTTTTCTACTTGGTCGCTTTTGTTATTTATAAGAATTCTTGAAATTTTCCAACATCCTTCACTTAATGTGCAGATTAAAGATGCCTGTCAGTGGCTTTTCTGTTTGTTCTCTGACGAACCAGAGCTTGTATGTATAACATACATTTGCCAGTACACTTAAGTTAGTGCATTTGCTGGCTCATACACTATTAAGAAATCAGAGGTTTAAAAGAATCTCCTAAGTTATATACTTAATTTTAAGCCTGATCTTTGATATTTATTATTATTTTTATTATTTTGATATTATGTCTCTAAACACTAGAAACTAATTTTTGCTTACCTGTCATCACTGGACTCTTACTCAGTGCTTCCTTTGGTCCCTGGTCCTTGTGATCTCTGTGGAAAGAATCGTTATGATACAGACACACAGCATGAGGTAGAAGATGGGTGGAATTTATTATAGCACAAAGTAGAATTCTTTTGCACATGCTCAAGGGATGAGAGTTTGTTTGAATGCAGGAGGCAGGGCTGCGTCCCCAGCACCCCAGCCGCCTGAACGGCTAGCTTTACCCGAAATAACAACACACAAACTGTATTCATTTAAACACTGCTTGGCCCATTTCTATCTAGCCTCTTCTAGGCTAATTCTCACATATTAATTTAGCCCATTTCTAATATTCTATGTAGCACAGCTAGGTGCGCTTACTGGGAAGATTCTAGCCTAAGTCCATCCTGGGTTGGAGCTTCATGGCGTGCATCTTCCCTGGAGCGGGGAGCATGGCGTCTCTCTGAGGCATCTGCTCCCAAGAGGAGAGCTGTGGAGTCTGAGCTCACTTCCTCTTCCTCCCAGCGTTCTGTTCTGCTTACTCCTCCCACCTATGTTTTAACCTATGAGGGCAAGCAGTTTCTTTATTGCTTAACCAATGAAATCAACAGATTGATATATGACACTCCCACATCAAGAGTTGACAATGGTCAAAGAGGCCATTGCGACAGCCTACTCTTAGGTAGACTTTATACTGTTTCTGAAGTCTTTTTAAACAGCTTTTTCTGAAGGGTGTTTTCATTGTACAAGTGACTGAAAGGTCCATTTTAATTGTCTCTTCTGGAAGACATTGGAAATTCATTCTTGTTCTTTCTGAGAAGGCATTAAGCCATATAATAGTCCTGTAAATTCTAAATGTGCATCCAACCAACCAGAGCTATAGATATGACTCAGACCTTATTTTTTTGACCAATGATCAAAAGTCTTGCTACTGGTTATGAGGGAGGGGTTCATTCCTATTAGTTCTAACATATGAGGACCAAGTCAGCACTTTTAAAATTATTTAAATAGTTCTCAGCCTTACACAGGACATACAAATAAAGGAAGATAGTTATCTTACTCATGACTACCCTCTAATGTGTATTAGCACAGGAAAAAAAATACTGAGAATTATAAATGCTGCTAATACCTAACTAGCTGCCTGACAGTGTGATGTAAGAATTCAGTTTTCCTTTTTCCAATATGGCTAACTAGTTACTTGTGGACAGAATAGTTCTTTCCTGTGCTATACATTGGCACCTCCATCATATAGCAAATTCCCTCTTAAATTAGTCTTGAAAATTGTGATAGAATTTTAATTGAAATTATATTTTATCACTAATTAATTATGGAATAATTAACTATATTACATTATATTAAAGTTCATGTATGTTTATTATTATTTTGAATATACACTTAAATAAGAACATAGCAGATTGCCATCTGATAACATGAGTTTTTATTACAGAAGAGTAACCTCCAAAATGTTTGTTCAGGTGTTAATGTAGAAGAAAAAGGCAATACTGCTCTCCACTCCTTTTTTTTTTTCCGAGTCTCCTAGGAAGTCTGAAGAGAAATGTCTTGGACCTCTTCTCTGTGCCTTTGAAATAAAATTTAAAATTTAACTATTCTAGGCCTCAGTTAAGCTCCCAAATAATCAGCTTCACAAAAAAGTCCCCATAGTCCAGGGCACATGCAACCTCACCTTGACATGCCTTCAGAAGGTAAATAAATTTTCCCACTATTGAAATTTGTTATTAATTATTTTCTATGGCTCACATTTAGGAAAATGTGACATTTGTTAGGCTAATTGTGCAAAATATGAAAGCTGTTTCTGTCTAGTGCCACAGTCTTCTCATCCACCAGTGTAATATCTTGCCATATATATAAAGTTAATTAAATTGTATAATGTGGCTCAGTTGGTAGAGTGCTGGCCTGGCATGTACAGAGCATTGTGTTCAATCCCCAGCACTGCCTAAACCGACATGCTGATGCCTGTGATCCTGTACAAGGGAGATGTAGGCTAGAAAATCAGGAATTCAGGGGTGTCCTTGGCTACCTGGTGTTTCAGGTCAGCCTATAATCCATGAATCCCCATTTCAATAACAAGAATGAATAAGCAAGCAAAATGTGCTCTTTTATGAAATTGCTTGCTTTTCTTTAAATTATTATTCTATTTTCATATTTTTAACATCTTTCAACTTTATGTTTTCTTTCTGGCTTTTGTTAGCAGTTCTTGTCTAACACTGCTGAACTCTTACTAACAACATGTTTTAGATTTTTTTCAAAATTCTCTATAAATAATAACTACTTTGTTTCTAACTTGTGGTTTTTATGGTTTCCATCTTTTGTAAGCTTACTTTGTTAGCTGGAACCTCAGAATAATGCTGACTAGAAATAGGAACATCAGGTATCAACCTGTTAATGATTTTAGAGAACATGCCTCAAAAATTTTACTACTAATGCTTGCTATATATGTTTTCAGAATATATTTTTCAATAAGTTAAGGAAATTGCTTTCTATTTTAATTTGCTATTCAATTTTTACTATTAAGAATAGGTATTGTGTTTACACAATGTTCATTCCTATATACCATTTATATGATTCTGCTTTAAATCTTTGCATGCTGAATTATAGCTAAAAATATTCTCTATTCCACTGGTTCTCCTGGACTTGTTTCACTCTACCCATCAGGTCCAACTCACTAGCTCCTGTAGCTGCTTGTGAAATAACCACTCTGAGACTTATATCAATTACATACTCTTTAGTCTATTAGGCGTCTCATTAACTAGCTCTTACATCTTAAATTAACCCATTTCTATTAGTCTGTGTATCGCCATGAGGCTGTGGCTTGCTGGTAAGGTTCTGGTGTCTTTCTCCTTCGCTTGCTACATGGCGTCTGCCTGAACCCATCTTCTTTATCCCTGGATTCAGTTTAGTTTTTCTGCCTACTGATGTTTTGCCCTGCCATAGGCCTAAGCAGCTTCTTTATTAACCAATGGTAATAAAACATATTCATAGAATACAGAGGGGAATACCACATCAATGAATTGTAGTAACAGAGTTTTCTAATATGAATCACATTTTTTTAGTCTAAATTACCCATGTATCATTTTCTAATGATAATATGATAGCATTGGTCATGTTTATGTGTTGTAAGTATCATCCATGTATGTTTACACATACACACACACCCCACATATGTGTAAAATGTCATTTTATCCTCACAACAATCCATGGGTTATGTATTATTTTATTATTCCTGTTTGACTGAGACTGAATACTGAGGTGTTAACTTTCTCAGGGTCATTGGCAATAGGAAGTAGTAGAGCTAGCATTTCTATATATAGTGAGTGTAATGTATCTAGGGATTTTATACATCACTGGAAATTATTTGCTCATCATAAAGTTTTTATGAATTAAGTTGGCCTACACTTTTTATTTTACTTTTCTTGACTGTTTTTTATATAAGATCGTGTTAGTAAGACAGTGTGCTTCCTTCTTATTGGAAAGATTCTCTATTTCTTATGTGGACTCTGAAATTGGTCCTCTTTTTTCTTTCTATTTCAGATTGTGTTTCCTGTGGTTGGGTTTATTTATTCGTTTGTTTATTTATTTGCTCTTTGGCTGTTTTGGGAACCTGCCAGCCAGCTTCCAAATAAATACACAGAGACTTAATATTTTCTTATGCGCTCAGCCTTACCTTGGCTTGTTTCTTACCAGCTTTTATTAAACTATGCAATATATCTTTTATCTCTGGACCTTTTTCTTTATCCTATATACTTTTCTTCTTACTCCATGGGTGGCTGTGTAGCTGGGTGGTTGGCCCCTGATGGCCTTCTATCCTCCTTTTCTTGCTCCTTGACTTTCTCTTCCCAGATTTCTCTTCCAGTTTATTCTGACTGCCAGTCCTGCCTATTCTTTCTCCTGCCTTGCTATTGGACCATCAGGTATTTTAGACAGACAAAGTAACACAACTACACAGAGTTAAACAAAAGCAACATAAAAGAATGCAATACATTTTTGCATCATTAAACAAATATTCCACAGCATAAACAAATGTAACACATCTTAAAATAATATTCCACAACAGTTTTCCATATAGCTTTACAGCAACACCAAGTTTTAGTATATAAGAAACAGTGTGTTGCTTTTTAATTAAAAAATTATTATTTTTAAATGTTTGTATTGATCATTTTCCTCATTGACAAATTATTTCCTTATAAATGTATCTTAAAGTTTTCCCTATAGAAAATTATATCATTTTCTTGTTGATATATTATTTCATTGCAGTGCCTTGAAGCATGTCCTTTTTTGTATCTGTTTGAAATCTACTGAGCTTTGATTCATGATTTAGACTTTAGTGTTCTTTTAAAAAATATTCAGTATGTATTATTGAAAAGAGTATATATTCCCAAGACACTGTGCAAACTTCTATACATAGAAAGCTTACTAGATCTTTTCAAACCCTTTGTGGGTGAAGGGTATGGTAAGACAGGCTCATTGTGAAGCCCAGGATATCCTTATACTCAGTGCATAAACCAGGCTGACCTCAAACTCACGCTAACCCTCCCAAATGCTGGGTTTATACGTGTGGGCTCTACTTCAGGTTGTCTTTATAGCTATTATTGTGACTTGTTGATAATTAATGATTAGGAAATTGAAATTATTGTTGTGGCAATTTATTTTCTAATGTTCTCTAGTTTGGGCAATTTCTTTTCGATGTACTTTAAGACTGTCTTACAGAATTCACTAAATATTAGGATGGTTTGATTTCCTGTTCTATTGAGTTCTGTGATTGTTTAGTAATATTCCCTATTCCTAACAATGCTTTTCTGCTAAGCTCTAGATTTGTTTATCTGGTATAACAAACTACCTTTATCTGCTGAGTTTGGTCCTTTGTATCTATTTTGATTACTAATGTATATGAATATGTTTCTGTTTCATTTTTCCCTTGTACTTGTCATGCTGTGCTTCTTTTGTGTCCTTATTTTAACAAAATATAATTGTGCTAAAATGCATGTGGCATAGTTTTTCCCATATGAACCCCTTTGAGGCATAATTCCTCAGTGTTAAGTATGTGTGTATTGCTACGAAACCAATCTCTAGAATGTTTTTTTTTTTTGTTTTGCTAAATCATTTCTTACTTTTTGTTTTCTTGTTCATGATTTTCTTGTACCAATTCTGGTTTTTGGGCATTTGCATTTGAATTTTACTATGCTTATTAACAAAACCTAAATGTATTAAACTAGTCACCAAAATTCTTAAGGGCCTTTAATTCTGCTACTTCCTTCTAATTTATGTGCTGTCTTCACAGATATTTAGTATGTATATTTACTAGTAACTGTAAATCAGATATTTAAAATAATATAATCTTACATACATTTCTTCACATCCGTGTATGCCAGGATCTTAACATTCTGTTTCCTTTGTATTCCATTGTCTCTCTAGAGCTGTTTTCCTTTTTCCTGAAATACAAATGTAGAGTTTCCTTTAATGCAGATCTGGTAGTGGTTTTGATACACTTCAGAAGTATTTTTTCTGAGTATACAGCATCATTTTCTTGTCTCTTTGAGTGTTTTTCCACTCTTTCTGTTACTACTTGTCTCTTTTGAGTCTGATAATCTAGTTTTGTTTTTCTGAGAATAGAATATAAATGATTTACTCCCAACCCAAATTACTTTTTTTAAAAAAAATGTATTTCATGTGTGTCCATGTATGCACACATACCTGAATGCATATGTCTACACCTGCTGTGGCATGGGTATAGAGCTCAGATTATTAATTTGCAGAAGTCAGTTCTGTCCACTTTGCAGGACCCAAGGATCAAACACAGTGCCTTTACCCATTGAGCCTCCTCACTGTCCTCCCAAAGTCTTTATTTCTTTGTCTATTTTTAATCTTTCATGTATCAGTGTTTTGCTGTCATTGTTTGTATGCCTAGTGCCCATGGAAGCTAGAAGAGGGCATTCTGTCTCCTGGAACTGGGGTTAGAGATGGTCATGAGCTGCCCTACATGGGTGCCGGAAATCAAACCCAGGTCCTCTAGATGACCACCAGTGTTCTTCACTGCTGAGCCGTCTCGTCAGCCACCCCCCCAATTTTTTTGGAGAGTTTATTGTTGTAGTGTTTTCCAGTTTCATTTTTATACATTTCTGGGTTTAGGTTTGAATTCTTTTTTCATGCTTCATAAATATAAAGATTTCTATATAACATATGTGTGTGCTTTTAATTTTGATGAATTTTTTAATGTCTAAATGGACCTACAGATTCTTTAATAGTGTGGTAGTTTTTATTCGTCTTTTCTCATTTCCCTGTTTTTATGATAATTCCTTTTTTTTCTTCCAATGTCTCATACATATCCGTCATATGCCAGTATTTAGTGATGCTCAAATACTTCTGATGTTTATTTTGTTTCCTATTGTTGCCATTGATACCTTATAGTGCTTTTGTTCTTTGGTTCTTTGAAAATCTGTGGGTATGGGCTTATGTTCATTTGCTGTTAATGTTTGAATAAGCCAAATTTCCTTGAAATTCCTTCCTACAGTTGCACTGACCTGAGTCTGCAAAACACCTCTAAATTAGTAATCTCAAATTTAGAGATGTTTCTCCTTGTTATTGGTCTAAGGGTTATTCTCCTCAGTAAGAAAAAGGCAACTGTGTTTTGTTTATTATTTGTGGTCATTCAGCTTAATTAGAAAATTCTCCCAAATATTTATTAAATTTTGCAAATTATTTTGAATATCATAGTTTATATTTTTTCATTCTGCTCATTCAGCTGCCTCTTTGCTCTTGCATTTTAGCATAACATGTTAGCATAAAAATTGAGAGTTGGTGTTGGAGAAGGCTCACTGATTAAGAGCACTAGCTGCTCTTGCAGAGCTCAGTTCCCAGTACCCATGTGGGAGCCAGCAATTGCATATAACTTCAGTTTCATAGTTCTGATGCCCTCTTCTGGACTCAAATATGCAATGGTGCACATTTTTAATACAGGCTAAAAGCATATACATAAATAAAAATAAATTTTAAAAATGAGTTTGAGAAGTTGTTAAACAAGACATCATTCCCTTAATGTCTTTAGAAGTAGTGAATTTCCTTTAATTGTCTTGAGGTTAATAATTGTGGCTCTTCATGACTTAATAATAGCTACTTTCATGACCTAATGTGGTCTCTAGGTTGCAGATTTGGTAACGTGTATTCTTTTTACAAAACTATAGGAACTAGTCCAGGCTAGTGAGCGATTAAAAAACCAATCCAAAGAGCTGAAAGACGCACACTGTCAGAGGAAACTGGCCATGCAGGAGTTCATGGAGATCAATGAACGACTAACAGAATTGCACACTCAAAAACAGAAACTTGCTCGCCATGTCCGAGATAAGGAAGAAGAGGTGGACCTGGTGATGCAAAAAGCTGAGAGCTTAAGGCAGGAGCTGCGCAGAGCAGAAAGAGCCAAGAAAGAGGTCAGTAGCCAGGCAAATTCCATAGTATCTGTAGAGTCGTGCTTTAAACTGCACTTAGAGACTAGTGAAATAATGTGCATTCCATTCTTTTAAGTTTTAATAAATAGTTATTGTGTAGCTTAGTACTATAAACTAGTGTGAAGTTCACCATTCAAACTATAAATTTTCTTAAGGAAAAGTAATTTGCAAAGCTAACTATGAAATCTGCCTTTTTTGTTTTGAAGCTGGAAGTTCACACTGAAGCTCTAATTGCTGAAGCATCAAAGGACAGGAAGCTGCGTGAGCAGAGCGAGCATTATTCTAAACAACTGGAAAATGAATTGGAGGGACTGAAGGTATCACTTGACCTTTATGACTCCTGATGAATTTTCTCCTCTTCAAGCCTGATAGGACGGCTAACTTACTAAAACTCGTTGGTAAAACATGAAAACTGCCTGTGCTTCCAGTCTAGTAGTCTCAGTTCTCATTCTCAGTAGTAGGGAGCTAATGGAGACTTGCTTGTCACACTCAAGTTTTTTTAGTGGAGAGAAGAAATCCGTGAAGGGCTGCCTCCCTGAACAAGATGTCCTTGTACCCTTAATGCATGCTGTAATAAGGTATCAAGAGTCCCTGTATTTGCCAATTTCCTCTCCTTATTACAAAAGATTTGATTGAGGCAGCTTAAGGAAAGCAATATTTATTTGGCTAACGATTTGAGGGTGTTGTTCATCGTGGTCATTATGGAGAACAGGATTTGAGGTCACATCACATTTGTAGTATGGACGTTGAGAGAGATGAAAGCTGCCACTCCTCTCACGCTCCCCTTTTTGTTCAGTCCAGGATTCCAGAGTTTGTCTTTCCATCTAGGTTAACCCAGTCTGGAAGCTCTCTCATAGACATGCCCAAGGTTTGTTTCTTTGTTAATTTTCACATGAAGTTGACTGTTGGAATTAACCATCACACCACTACCTGTTTTATAAATGACCCAAGAGAGGCCAACTCTAGCCACATGATCCAGTTTTAAGTTCTAGCCTGACCAGTTACTAGATATGTAACACTTGATGGAACATTTCCCCTCCTGTTTTAATCCTCTCATCTATGGCTTCTCTTCTAGGGTATATAAGTACATGTCCAAGATCACACCTCACAGTGCTCAGTAATTCTGCTCCTTTTGTGCTGCATTTGAATCCTTGTAGTAACTGCAGCATGGTTTAATGACGGACTCACAGGTCTCTTTCCTCTCCAAAACTGTAATCTAGCTTGTTAAAAATACAGACAAATATATTATTGACCTGTGGTCATTTAAAAATAATTGTTTAATACATGTGCTTTTCAGTCAGTCAGTCACATGATAGAAATGGCCATAACTGTGATGGCTGAATATCAGAGAAACGGGTGTTTCTTTCTTTTACTTAATTCAGAAGAACTAGAAAGTGCAACCTAGAAGTCTTAGATATTTATTTTGCTTAGCTCTCTCATTACTGTGACCATTAGATCAAAAATAATACAATAGCGAATAAAAAATAATAGTCAGTGAACCTAAAACTTTGTTTGAGATTAACACAATTGGCAAACCTTCAGCTAGACAGAACAGAAAAGGGAGCAAGGAGGAAAAGAGGATGTAGGGATTTAAAATCAGAAACAAAGGTAGGTGTTTTGCTTATGACCACAGAGAGTAAAAGAACTGTATGCCACTAGAATAGATGACCTAGATGAAATGGACAAAATAACCAAAAAAGACTCAAAGTAAAATAGAAAGTTATATCTATAGCAAATAGAAAAAATGAATTTTTAAAGAATCTTCTGATAGAGTTCAACACCAGATTTTCCACTTGTGAACTACTAGACATTTAAAGAACAGTTACCTAAACAAATCAACTTAAAGAAGGAAAAAGTTATTTTGGCTTATGGTCTCAGTGTTGACAGAGGTTTCTGTCCCACCAAGTCCCACAGTCATTCAGTCCTAAAGTGTAGTAATAGGAGCGGTGGGGCTGCGTTCCCAGCACCCCGGCCGCCTGGCTAGCTTATGCCCCGAGATAATTACATGGACACTGTATTCTTTTAATCACTGCTTGGCCCTTTAGCTCTAGCCCTTACTGGCTAATTCTGATATCCCGATCAACCCATCTCTAATAATCTGTAAGCACCAGTCTTAGTGAGCACCAGTCTTACCAGGAAGATTCTAGCCTACGTCCATCCTGGGTTGGAGCTTCATCGTGTGTCTGCCGGGAGCGGAGCATGGCGTCCCTTCTCCAGAAAGCAGAGCTGTCCGTCTCTGTCTGAAGCATCTTACCTCACTCCCTCTTCCTCCCAGCATTCTATTCTGTTTACTCCACCCACCTATGTTCTAAGCTATGAGCCCAAGCAGTTTGTTTATTAATTAACCAATGAAATCAACAGATTGATATATGACACTCCCACATCACTTCCCCTTTTTCTGTTTAAACAAAAAAAAGCTTTAACTTTAACATAGCAAAATTACATATAACAAAACAGTTATCAAGTAAAAATTACAATAATCTTTATCATAACTAAGGAAAACTATAATTAACTATTCTTAACTCCATCAAAGACTCCAGAAAGATACAATATTACCTAAGCAAACAAGAAAAAAGCAACTTTTAAAACTCTAGAAATGACAGAGACATCTCGCTGCCTGTACAGTCACCCAAAGTTCCTCTGTACCGTTGGGGCATCCATCTTTGGCCTACAGGCCCATAGTTTCCAGCAGACATTTCCACAAAGCAGGAAATTTCAAAGGCAGTCAATATCTGCTTGTCCTGAAGAATGTCTTGCAGACTCTTTCATGAATCTGGAACCCCAAAAGATCATCTCACCTTTAGGCAAGTTCAGTAGTTCTCTCTCTGTGGGTTCTCTGTGTCCAGTTTATGCAATAGTCCAGGAAAGAGCAGTTTATTGCCCAAATGGCTATCAAACTCCATAAGGATCCTCTTCGATGCCCATCTTCTTCTTGAAGTAGATTGGTGCTGCCAGGAGCAGACATGTCTCATTGTCATGAAAAACCCTAAGTTATTAAAAAATTAAATACCATATTCTGCAGTCTTTGAAAGATATAAAGAATGTCTATACTTTTCAGAATACTGAAATGTATCTCTGTATATCTAGAAAATCTAACTAACATGACAACAAGCTTTACCATTACTGATGATTATCCATTAACCTATTTCTTAATTATACATTACATTTTTTAATGAACTACACAATCACAATATCTTAACAATAGCAGAAATATGCATATACATATAACAAAATTGACCTTAAATCTCTATCAATAAAGCAAAATCTATACTATTACAAATTATTCATATCTATATCATATCCCCCTTTAAATGTAAAAGAACGTTTATAAACCATATTTGGGAACATGGGCGCAGTTTTTTCTCTCCAAACTGCTTCCTGCTGAATGGGGGCGTCATTAATTAGGTCTTTCATGGTATAACCTGTGTGCTAGTTTTATCTCGGTTGGCAGTTGAGCAAAGCAATTTTCTGAAGATGTTCACAGCAACCCTTCAGGAGGGCGTGATCCATCATACCAAATCGGAATAGAAGAAATGAACAGGGTCTCATCCTCTGTGAAAACAAAATAAGAAACTCCTTTCCAAAGCATCATGTCCTTAGATCCAAATTTCAAAGTCAAGGCATTTTCAAAATATCTATGTTGGATTAGTTCAGCAGCATTTATAAACAAATATCTTTTGGCATCTGTTGCTCCTTAGCATTCAAACAATTCAAAGAGAGCATAATAGATACAGTATCAAAATTCTCTGTCTATTTTCCATCTTTGTACAGCTTTGTTTTAACCTCTATTTCGTTTATTTTTACTTTTAACTTTTTGCTTTTTGAGACAGGTTCTCTGTATCTTTGACCTAGAATAACTCTGTAGACCAGGCTGTCCTTGAACTCTCAGAGATCTGCCTGTCTCTGCCTTCCAGGCATTGGGATTAAAGGTGTACACTACTACACCTTGAACTCACAGGGATCTGTTTGTCTCAGCCTTCTAGGCACTGGGATTAAAGGCGTGTGCTACAACACCTTGAAGTCACAGAGGTCAATCTCCCTCTGCCTTCCAAGTGTTGGGATTAAAGGTGTGTACTACTACACACAACAACTCTCTTCCTCTTTTTTTTTGTTTTTTACTTTAAGAACTTCAACTTTTAGTCTGCATATATTTTTAACACACTGTAAACCATTTAGAAATTTTCTTTATCTTTGAATCTCTATTTACTGTATATCTCTCTTTTTCTGACCACATGAGTCTTTAATTTACCAAGCAATATCAGTAGGATTAAAGCCGTGGCTTTGCCAGCTAGATCCAGTCCATTCCTTAGCTTTCCAGCCTCATGGCTCAGGTACTGGCTGTAGCCATGTTTACTGCCACAAGTCTATGGCATTTCAAGGTCCCTGCCAGCAAGCGAGCTTCAGCAGCCTGTCCTTGCAAACCGCATGAACCGCCTGCATAAAAGAGTCAGAGTTTGCCCTGGCAGGACAGCCCAGAAAGCCTGCATTTTTAAAGGGTGCAGCTTTTTTCCTGCTAGGGCTGAAAACTGAAAAGCATGCATTCAGCTTTTTGTCAACACCATTTAAGTGTTTTGTGGCAGGACCTCTTAATGAGCTGCAGGGTTTTGCAGCTAAAGCTGAGTCAGGAAGCCTCTCTTGGATGAGAGCGCTTGCTTGCCTCTAGCAAGCAGAGCAGACCTGAGAAATCGCTGCTATCAAGAAAACATGCTTTACTCTTTCCCAAGCTTTTTCAGGCTTTCTGTGGATTCAGTTAGCCACACGTCTGGGCGCCATTTGTAGTAATAAGGAGCGGCGGGCTGCGTCCCCGGCACCTGGCCGCCCTCACGGCTAGCTCATACCCTGAAATAATTACACGGACACCGTATTCTTTTAATCACTGCTTGGCCCTTTAGCTCTAGCCCTTACTGGCTAATTCTGATATCCCGATCAACCCATCTCTAATAATCTGTGAGCACAGGTCTTAGTGAGCACCAGTCTTACCAGGAAGATTCTAGCCTACGTCCATCCTGGGTTGTAGCTTCATCTCGTGTGTCTGCCCGGGAGCGGAGCATGGCGTCTCTTCTCCAGAGAGCAGAGCTGTCCGTCTCTGTCTGAGGCGTCTTACCTCACTTCCTCTTCCTCCCAGCATTCTATTCTGTTTACTCTACCCACCTATGTTCTAAGCTATGAGCCCAAGCAGTTTGTTTATTACTTAACCAATGAAATCAACAGATTGATATATGACACTCCCACATCACCAAAGAAATACCCATAGGTCTACATTAATCATAAACTGGTTGGCTCAGGCTTCTTATTAATTAATTTTTACATCTTAGCCCATAATTCTTGTCTGTGTTAGCCATGTGGCTTGATACCTTTCATCAGCAAGGCATTCACATCTGCATCCTCTACATCTGGGTGACGACTGCAGACTGAGCTTTCCTCTTCCAGAATTCTCCTGTTGTAGTCACCCCGCCTCTACTTCCTGCCTGGCTACTGGCCAATTAGTGTTTTATTAGAATAATACAAGTGACAGGATAAAAAACCGTTGTCCCACAGCATCTCGGAGGTTTTGGCCCTATGTTACTTGGCTCTAATGACAAAACAGAACATCATGCCCAGGAGCATATAGTGGACGAAGACTGTTAAATCATGAACTTATCAGTAGATTGATCCATTGATGAGAATAGAGCCCTCAGATCTCACACTTCAATAGTGACACCAGTGGGGTCCCAGCCTTCAACAAATAAACTTTTGTAACACTTCATATCCAAATAACACCTCCTTAAAGTCTTAAAAAAAAAAACAGAAGTGATAGAAATATAACTCATTCTTGAGGCCAGCATGGCCCTGAATACCAAAGCCAGAGGAAGACTTCACAAGGATATTACAAGCCAACATTTCTTATCAATATATATGCACAAATCCTCAACAAAATCTAGCATATTAGAATACTGAATTTTATAATACCCAAAAGTATATTATAAAATGTAGATATCATGACCAAATAAGATACAGCTCAGGAATGTAGGGGTGGTTCAGCATAAGGAAAAACTTTCAATGGCTTTTATTAAATTTGTTCTTCGGCAGTTTGCATATAAATAGTATATTCTGTTTAGTTTTAACCACTGTCTGCCCTCCTTTATCTCCTTCCCACTCCCCAGGCCCCAAGCAGGTTCCTTTTCCGTACTCATATAGGTTTTTTGTTTGTTTTTTTGTGTTACTTTGTTTGCGGTGACCCATTGATTTTCACCATCTGTATAACCATGATGGAGCTATAAGTTTGAAGCTCGTGGGTTCCTCAGTGCGTGCACAGCTGAAGACAATAGCTGCCCCTTGCCCAGAACCTATGAGTAAGCGTTAGTTCAGCATGGGACATAGAGCCCTGTGAACCCCTCCACAGTCTGTGGTTGACATGACAGTCCCAGTATTGTGCCAGGTACATTGCAGACAGATGCAGCTGCACTGTAAGATTATAAATTGCAAGTTGCTTTGGTTGTGTCCTGTCTAAAAGACAGCATTTCACAACCCCTCTATCTTCTGGAAAATATTTAAATTTGGTACGTATGCTAAATCAGTGTATCAGTTATGCAGTGGGGTTGGTCAGAACTTACATTTTCTGTGATGATTGTGTATGGTGTTTGCAAGTAAGCATTAGCTCCTCTGTTTCTACTCTCTTTTCCACATGTGCCTAGAATTGTGGGAATGTTCTCTTCCACATACGGGCTCCCTTTGCCCAGCCTTGATACAAGGGGAGGTGCTTAGTTTTACTGCAATTTGACATGCCATGCTTTGTTGACACCCATGGGGAGTCTGCCCCTTTCTGAACAGACTTAGAGGAAAAGTATAAAAGGTGGAGGGGACATAGGGAGAAGTTAAATTTTTTTTTTAAAGAATTGTGAAAATATAGTATGAGTCACCAGACAGTGGGTGCTTCAGAAGTGCATTCAAGTGCTGTTTCACATGGCTAAGAGCAGGAAAGGTAAACATATGCACATATGCGTAAATTGGGGCTGGAGAGGTTCAGTGGCTAAGCACACTCCCTGCTCTTCCAGAAAACTCTTCTGGCATTCAGGCATACATGCAGAGAGAACATTGTATGCAAAATAAATAAGTAAATCTTTAAAAAGTTCAAAACAAAACAAAAATCATATTAAAATATATTTTTATTTTTGAATTTCATATATTTATACCTTGTATTTTAGTCATATCTATTACAACTGTCTCCCTCAAACTCTTCCCAAAATCTCTCACAGAAAGATACCTGGCAAATCCTCTGGTAGGTGGGAGACCACAGTGGGTGGGAGACAGACAGCAGCATGCAGACAGAGCTTGGGTATAGAGTTTATTTAATGTGTAGGGGGATTATGGAGTGGAGAGAGAGAAGGAGAGAGGGAGGGAAGGAAGGAGGGGGGAGGGAAAAGAGGATGGGAGAGGCAGTAGTTATTTCTTCAGAAGAGGGGAGGAGGGGTGGAGAGAAGGTATGAGATCAGCTTGCCTTGGGTGGAGGGATTGGGGATAGAAGGAGCTTGTCTCTTAAAGGGACAGGGTACTCAGGTGACAGGGAAGGTCAGCAAAATGATAACACTCACTGAATTCCCATGCCAACTTCATGTCTTTTTTTTTTCATTACCCTGCTGAGTCCAACTAATGCAGCCTGCATGTATGTAGTTAGGTGTAAGACCATCCACCATACAAGGACAATTTACCAGAAACAATCTCTGAAATAAACTGACTCTCCTTACCCCAGTAACCAATAGTTTCTCAACTAGGTGGGGGGCCTTATTCCCTGATCTACATGGGAATTTTCCTAACTTGGTCTTGTGCAGGCAGCCACAGCAGCTGTGAGTTCATGAACACAATGCCCTGTCGTGTCCAAGACACTGTTTAGAAGTAGTCCTTCCCAACGTCTTTCTCTTAGACACTTTTCTCCCTCTCTTTCTTGGCATTCTCTAGTCCTTGAGGGAAGGCGATATGATAGCGATGTCACATTTAGGGCTGAGCACTTCGTCATCAGTTATTCTCTGTGCACTACTGACTAGTTGTGAGCCTCTGTATTAACCACTGTCCACTGAATAAAAAAATCAATGCATTGGGGGCTGATAGCTCATGGGTATAAAAATAAGTATTTAGAAGACAGTTTGATATCCATTTAACAAAACTAGGAGGCTGTAACTGGGAGCCTGTTTTTGGCCATGTTTACAGTACTAGATATGAACTCCATTCCATGAATCAGGCCTTAAATTCAGTCAGGAAGTAGTTGGTTACTCCAGCAGTATTCATGCAAGAAATCTCATTCTAAGTTCTAGACCAATGCATTTTGACCATGTTTCCTCCTCCAGCTAAGCATGATGGCTGTCTTGATACAAATTTAGACATACCTGGGAAGCAGGAATCTTAATTGAGAAAATGCCTCCATAAGATTGAACTCTAGGCAACTCTGTCTAGGTGTCTGAGGTCCCAGCTCATTGTGTGCCATACCACTCCTCAGCAGGTGGTCTTTGTTGGATAAGAAAGCAGGCTAAGCAAACGATGAGGTGCAAGTCTGTAAATCAGTGCTCTTCCATGGCTCTACTTCAGTTCCTGCCTCAACTTTGCCCAGTGATGGTCTGTGACCTGAGTTCTAAGCTGAAATAAACCCTTTATCCCCAGGTTTCTTTTAGTCATGGTGTTTATCACTGTATTAGAAACCCTAAGTGAGACAGTAGTTCATGCCTATAACACAAGTATTAGGCTTCAGAAGCGGGCCTACGGAGTGAATTCCATCATTGCCTAAGTGTGAGACTCTATCTCAGAAAAACACTTTTCTCCTCCTCCTTAATGTTTTCCTTAGAAGTTAACAGACCTGGTTTTTTCCTATTGTAGACATGAAGATGTTTAGACCTTTTGTAATTTCTTTCTGAACATTACAAAAAGCCTTCTTTCTTTTCTTATATGTTGTAACTCAATCATGCCTTCCCTCATCTTAATCTTTTAAAGACATGAATTTAATGCAAACTTCGACTCTTGCTTATTAGACATATGGTTAGATTTTTTTCTTAAATATATAACAACAATAAGCCTGGATAAAAATTTAAATGCTTTGCTGGTTAGTTTTCATCAGCTTGACACAAGCTAGAGTCATCTGGGAAGAAAGAATCTCAACTGAGAGAAAGCTTCCCTCAGATTGCCTGTAGGCACGTCTGTAGGGCATTTTCTTGATTAATGGTTTATGTGAGAGGGTTTAGATCACTTGAGGGGGTCCTGGGTGGTGTAAGAAAACAGGCTGCGGGAACCTTGGAAAGCAAGCCAGTAAGCAGCACTCCTTTGTGATTCTGATTTAGTTCCTACCCCTAGGTTCCTATCCTGAACTCCTGCCCTAGCTCCCCCTCCACCCACCATGATGGACTTTAACCTATGTGATGAAATTAGCCACAAGTTGCTTTTGGTTATGGTCTTTATCATAACAATAGGGAGCAAACTAGAACAGATTGAAAACAAAAAAGTTATAAAATGCCAACAAAAAGTTCAAGTTAATCTCTGGCCTTAGTGTGCAGACTCAAAAATAGCAAAGACCATAAAATAATATAAACCGAGGAAAGTATTTGTAATATATGGCAGAGAAAGAAGAGCCTTACATGTACATTTTTGTGTGAGAGTATATATATGATATGCATATTATAGTTCCTGTTAGAAAGGAGTTGCTTCTTATTTTATTTTTTTAACCTTTTGTTTTTATATATATATGTGTGTAGCAAAAACAAATTAGTTACTCACCAGGAATATGCAGCATAGAACATCAGCAAGAGATAACTAAACTGAAAACTGACTTGGAAAAGAAAAGTATCTTTTATGAAGAAGAAATATCTAAAAGAGAAGGAATACATGCAAGTGAGATTAAAAATCTGAAGAAGGAACTGCATGACTCCGAAGGCCAGCAGCTTGCTCTCAACAAAGAAATTATGGTTTTAAAAGACAAATTGGAAAAAAACAGGAGAGAAAGGTAAGAATCAAATTATTTTTGTCATCCAGCAAATATCTGCTAAGTACATGCTGTATGCTAAGTCCTGGGAAACTCAGGCAATGGCATATCCAGGCTCCAGCATGGAAAAGGGCAAAGGAGGGAGTTGGATGGAGGCAGCATGGGAGAGGGGCCTTAGGGCCTTAGGCTTTCCAGGAAGAAATACCTCTTAGCTGGACCTAAAGACTTAGGAAGAAGGGAATGGGGAGCATCCAGGCAGAGGTGCCCTAATGGCTGAGATCCAAAGGAAATAAAACGTCACACATTCATAAAACAAGTGCTCCTTACTGTGATGGGTGCACACATAGAAAAACGGAGTGGTGAGACATGAGACTGTGGGGAAAAAAAACAAAACACAGGCAGATTTGTGAATTAATGTAAGGAAAATTACATGATAGTACTTATTTTGGAATGGTCACTTGCTACCTTGTGGGGAATGATTGGAAGGATCCAGAGGAATCCAGCTGTAAAATGAGAAGTCCATAGATAATACTGAAGTTGGAAGTGAGTATGATAGATTCAAGAAATTCTGCTCAAAAGACAGAATCTGCAGGACAGAAGGCAGTGGCTATGAGAAAAGAGAGAGCAGGAGGAATTATCAGTAGCACTCAGGTTTTAGGTTTTAGGCAACTGAATAGATTTTATTGGCACGCATCCTGTGTTATTTATATTGGAAGCTCACATTTTTGTAGTCTGGTGCATTCTTGACAAATGTGAAGTGCTATTGTGTGCACTATGATATGGCAGTGAACAGATCAAACAAAAGTCTTTGTCCTCATGGAACTTGCTCTCAGTAGGTGAAAGACAATAAAGACAATAAGTGTAGTGTAGAACACATTACATAATGATCTGTGCTAGAACAGAAACAAATAAGGAACGGCCGTTAATATGAAGATTAAATTCTGTACACAGAAGAGAAGAGAAGATGGCTGGAGGAGACTGTACTGAGGTAACTTCCCAGTGAAGAGTAAACACAGTGTGAAGTGTGTGCGATGGTGTGAGAACATTGTGCTCAGAGGAGAGCCTTCTGTTCAGAAAGTGCTGAGCAGGCCACAGGCCACGAGACTGTTAAGAGCTCACTGTAAATGAACATCAGCCGCTTGGTATATGTGTGGAGTAGGCTGGTTTCACGGGTGGAAATGTAATTGTGGGTGTCACTCTCCTGTGGTATTTAATGCTGTGGGTCTGAATGCGATCATTTAGTGACTATGCTTAGAGTAAGGCCTAGAACTGAGCTCTGGGCCATTCCAGTCTTTAGAAACTAGGAGATGAGGAAGAACTAGCAAAATGAATGGAGAGAGAAAGCTAGGAAGGTGGGTCTGATTTTTGTGTTGAGTTGAGTTCAGAGTGCTGGATGTGAAATGCTTGGGAGACATTGGTGTGCTTCCTGATGGGCTGTGCTGAGAATAGTGTAGTGATGTTCGGTCATCAGACAGGCTCCAATTGAGGGTCACCCCTACAAAGAGAGAGTCCTTCACTCCTCAAAACTGTTTTGAGATCTAGGGAAGACAAAGAAACCACTTTACACCAAAGGAAAATGAAGGAGACAAAGCTCAGCATGTTTTTCAGCTGGCTTGGGGACTAGATAAGAAACAGAGACAGGGTTGGGGTGGCGGGAAGTTTGAGTTGGGATGTAGATTTGGGAATAGTGTTAGTTGGGACAGGTATTTACAGAAGTTAAGCATGTACTTGACTTGAGGAAATACAGTCTGGATTATACATGTCAGAAGAATAACTTCTGCCCCGGCCCTTAGCTGTTCAGGAGAATATGGTACACACAGAGTGATTGAGCAACTGATGGAAAATGCTAGCCATTGGGACATCTAGGCAGAGACACAGAGGTTCTTTGTACTATAGTTATAACTTTTATGTTAATTGAAATTATTTCAAACCAATTATTAAGTATTAAAGTTCAGATATATATTCATTTCTAAATATTAATAAAATGAACAAGATAACATTCTTAATAATGTTAATAAGCTAGGAAATAACTGGCTCAATCTTAAGTGAGGATCCCATGCCTCTATTTTATAAAAACAGATGTAGCTGTATAAAGAAAAGTACCTAGCTTGGTCTCATTACTTTGTCTTTAAACTTAGTAACCCTGGGTCGGATGGCAGTCACTATTATACTCATGTTGGTGGCTTCTTCATCAGCCTTCCCTGATTACGCATCTCTCTTAGTCACTTTGTCCCAAGTAGTAATTGTGACATTACCATATCTTACTTTCTTTATAGACTTATCTAAAATTAATTCACTTACTAATTTTTCTTCTCCTGCACTTGAATGTAAACTCTGTAAGCAGGGTTTACAAAACTCATAAGAATTTATTTGTTGGCAAATAACAGATAATCTAAAAATATTTGTTAAATGACTGAATAAGCCAGCCCACCACTCTTACATCATAAAAAATAAAGACATAGACTCACTGTGTAGTCCTGGCTGGCCTGGAATCCACTGTGCACATCTGGCTGGTCTCAAACTCAATGATTCCTCCTGGATTCTGGGACTAAAGGCATGCACTATCATGCCCAACACACTGTAGATCTTGGAATTTTTTTTTCTTTTTTTGTTTTTCAAGATAGGGTTCCTCTCTAGCTTTGGAGCCTGTCCTGGAAACTAGCTCTTAGAGACCAGGCTGGACTTGAACTCACAGAGATCCTCCTGCTTCTGCCTCTCTAGTGCTGGGATTAAAGGCATGTGCCACCACCGCCCAGCTCAGTCTGATTCTTAAGTAGTTGCTGTGTAAATGTTACAATTTTTTTTTTTGGTTGACTCTTTTTTCTTTATTTATTTATTAAAATTTTCCACCTCCTCCCCTCCACCTATTTCCCTCCCACTCCCCCCACTCCTCCTCCCGCTCCTTCTCCACTCCTAAGAGCAGTCAGGGTTCCCTGCCCTGTGGGAAGTCCAAGGTCCTCCCCCTCCATCCAGGTCTAGGAAGGTGAGGATCCAAACAGACTAGGCTCCCACAAAGCCAGTCCATGCAGTAGAATCAAAACCCAGTGCCATTGTCCTTGGCTTCCCAGTCAGCCCTCCTTGTCAGCCACATTCAGAGAGTCCAGTTTGATCACATACTCCATCAATCCCAGTCCAGCTGGCTTTGGTGAGCCCTCATTAGATCAGTCCCACCGTCTCAGTGGGTGGACACACGCCTTGTGGTCCTGACTTCCTTGCTCATGTTCTCCCTCCTTCTGGTCCTCATTTGGACCTTGGGAGCTCAGTCCAGTGCTCCAGTGTGGGTCTCTGTCTCTGTCTCCATCCATCGCCGGATCAAAGTTTTATGGTGATATGCAAGATATTCATCAGTGTGGCTATAGGATAAGGCCAGTTCAGGCACCCTCTCCTCTGCTGCCCAAGGAACAAGCTGGGGACATCTCCTTGGGCACCTGGGAACCCCTCTAGAGTCAAGTCTCTTGCCAACCCTAAAATGGCTCCCTTAATTAAGATATCTACTTCCCTGCTCTCATATCCACCTATCCTCCATCCCAACCATCCCATTCCCCCAAGCTTTCCCCAATCCTCCCCTCCTCTTTTCTCTCTTCCCCATCTCCCCTTACCCCCACTTTACTCCCACCCCCATGCTCCCAACTTTTGCCTGGCAATCTTGTCTACTTCCAATATCCAGGAGGATAACTATATGTTTTTCTTTGGGTTCACCTTCTTATTTAGCTTCTCTAGGATTATGAATTATAGGCTCAATGTCCTTTATTTATTGCTAGAATCCACTTATGAGTGAGTACATACCATATTCATCTTTTTGGGTCTGGGTTATCTCACTCAATAAAGTGTTTTCTATTTCCGTCCATTTGCATGCAAAATTCAAGATGTCATTGTTTTTTACCGCTGAGTAAAACTCTAAAGTGTATATGTGCCACACCTTCTTTATCCATTCTTCTATTGGGGGGCACCTAGGTTGTTTCCAGGTTCTGGCTATTACAAATAGTGCTGCTACGAACATAGTTGAACAAATGCTTTTGTAGTATGATTGGGCATCTTTTGGGTATATTCCCAAGAGTGGAATTGCTGGGTCCTGAGGTAGGTTGACTCCCAGTTTCCTGAGAAACCGCCACACTGATTTCCAAAGTGGTTGAACAAGTTTGCATTCCCACCAACAATGGATGAGTGTACCCCTTACTCCACATCCTCTCTAGCATAGGCTGTCATTGGTGTTTTTGACTTTTAATCCAATTTCTTTTCTGTTTTAAATTTTGTTAGTCAAAGTGAAAGGGAAGAATTTGAAAATGAGTTCAAACAACAGTATGAACGGGAAAAAGTATTATTAACAGAAGAAAATAAAAAGTTAACAAGTGAACTTGATAAGGTGAGTGATTAAATCTCACTTGGTTGAGTACATGCTGGGTGTCTTGCACTGTGATTTAAATCCTGGTTGTCATTTTGTATTTGTGTGTTATTTAATGGTCTTCCTCATAAGGTGTCAGTGCACGCCAAGGTTTTGTTATATCATTTGTGTCAGACTCAGTTTTTCCATCTTTTTGCCCTCCTAAGTCCCTCCCCATCACCATGGTTTTTTTTTTAAATAGTATCTCATGTAGCCCAGAATAGCCTTGAACTTATTTTATAGATGAATTTAGCCTTGAATGATTGATTCTCCTACCTTTACCCCCTGCAAGTGCTGAGGTTACAGTCATGCACCACCATGCCCAGACCATTTGTGTGTGTGATGCATATGTATGTGTACATATGATATGTGGCTTTATAGGTAGAGACTTATTAATCACAATGAATTAACTAAAGTTACAGACTCTGACAAGTCCTGACAGCTACAGGTAGCATGGTCAATAATGAGGGAGCCTCTGTTCTTTTCTAGTCCATTTGTCAGCAGGCTCAAGACCAAAGAATTACTGCAGTTTTTCCTTGGAAATAGCTGGTCAGAGTTCCCTTCTACCTAGAGTGTGCTCGCTTAAGTTGGGGAAGACAGTCTTCATTACTCACTGCTGACTTAAATATTGGTCTCATCCATGAATATCCATACAGACATACTCATAAGATTTCAACCAATATCTGGGCTATTCTGTCCCAGTCAAGATGACCTTTAAAATTAAGAACCATGTGACTATTTCTCATCACAGGAACAGTTCTGTAAATAGATTTTCTCAGAAAAATTGTCCCCCATCAGCAGTACATATTAAAAAGGCTGACTAGGGTCCCTGAAGTATACAAGGAAGAGAGAAACACAACAACTAATGGCAGGTGGGGACTATTTGTCAGGAAATGGGTGGATAGTAATATCATGAGATTGTTTTTAACTTGAGAAATTTTTCATACACACTTTATGACATATATGAAAAAATTGCCACGCATAGTAGCAAACCTAGACAAATCACTGACAAACCAGGAGGAGGATGCAACTACACAAACAGAATCAAAGAGTGAGAGGGAAGCAAGGCCGTCAGCATAAACAGAGGTGCAGGGTTCTCAGCTGGAGTGAGACTGTTACAGAAACTGTGTTTGAAGAGGTAATGGTCTGAATTATCCAAAACCTGTGTGTATGTCTAGCCAGCCACACATTTTTAAATGCCAAAAACTATAAAGGTTCTCAGTCATAAACCTGCCCATGGAATCCTACATATAACCTAAAAGGAACCAACATAGGAGCCAACATAGAATCCTAAAAGCAGCCAGAGAAGGCATGGTGCTCAGGGAGTTAAAGACTGACAGCTGAGCTCTCAGGAGAAAAGAAAAGCCACATTCCAAAGGTTGAAAAAGTAACTGCCATAATAAAATGTTACATTTTAATTTCATAAAGAAACCAGTAAATAAAATGCTTCAAGCATATCACACATTCTCGGTGGATCATGATTTAGCTTAACAAACCTGGCTATTTTTGTTCTTTTGTTTTTGTCTTTTAGCATGTTGAAATAAATAGAAATTTCAACAGTGGGAAGTTTGTTTTGAAGTGTTTGTGTGGTATATGTGTGTATGTTTGTGTGCTTGTACATGCATAGGTAGGTGAGTGGAGGCTAGATGTCCCTCTTTAATTTTTAGCTAAGGTCTCTCCCTGAACCTGGAGGGAGTCACCGCTTTGGCCAGATGGCTAGTGAGCAGCAAGGGTCCTCTTATGCTACCTCTGCGCTGGGGTTGCAGATACCAGCTACACCCTGCCACACTTAAACCTTTTACATGGTGCTGAGGCCCAGAACTCAGTCCTTATGCCCGCACACCAAAAATTAATTAATTAATTAATTTATTAATTTATTTATTTGCTGGTTTTTCAAGACAGGGTTTCTCTGTGGCTTTTGGAGGCTGTCCCGAAACTAGCTCTTGTAAACCAGGCTGGCCTACCTCTGCCTCCCAAGTGCTGGTATTAAAGGCAAGTGTGCACTGCCACCACCCGGCCCAAAAATTTATTGACTGAGTCATTCCCTGATCACAAATTTATTAAATTTATTAAATTTAGGTACAAATGTTTATATTTAAAATGAAAGAGCATCATTTTAAAATAATGTATTTTACAAAGAAAGTTATATGATTAAAATTTTTTTCTGGAGAACACATAACAAAAGATTGCTGTTGAGGTCTGGTAGTCATTGAAGTTGGGTGTTGGGCTCATGAGAATTCACTTACAGTACCCATTTTTGTTTCTTCCTATTAAGTACATTATCTATTTTATTTCATTTTCTATGTTCTTTTGAACTGGTACACAGTTTCATTTTATTTTTTAAATCTTTAACTCTATTTTATGTTTATGGATGTTTTGCCTGCCTGTATGTCTATACATCATCTGTACACCACCCTGATAGAGGCCAGAAAAGGGCATCATATCTCCTGGGCCACTGTGTGGGCTGCTTTTCAGAGGATCTGGGTTTGACCCCTAGGACCACATGGTGACTCAAAACAATTTTTTTCTGTTCTTGTGATTCTTTACAAGATCTTCTAAAGTTAACATGCAATTGCAGAAAAGAGGTGAGAGGGAGGGAGGAGGGAAGAAGGAAGAGAGGATGTTACCTGAAGAATTGGTTGATTTTTTTTTTTCAGGTAGATGAAGAATATTCACAATTAGAGCCAATTTCATGTAGGGTGTGAGGAAAAACAAAGAAAGCAGGAAAATTCAAGGTGCTTATTATTACCAAATTCTGTCTTCAGTGTGGTATGGAATAATAAAGTTATGAACATTTTTAGTGGAAGATTATGCATTATTAGATGGAACAACAGGTGTCTAGGTATTGTGAAGTCCTGTTCCTAAAAGCCACTCATGCCTTCACACTGCCTTCCAGCTGACCACGTTGTATGAGAGCTTAAGTTTGCGCAACCAGCACTTAGAAGAAGAGGTCAAAGATCTAGCAGACAAGAAAGAATCCGTTGCCCACTGGGAAGCCCAAATAACAGAAATAATCCAGTGGTGAGTGCTCTTCCAAACGTGCTGCTGTGGGTGGCGTGGGCTGTGGGCCCTGAGAAGTTCCTAACCCTTCATCGTCTTAGTTTGCCATGGAAAGCAGGGTCAGAGTGGGAAAGGTGAACCTTTAAAGGACTCAAGAAACATGTTCGCTTGCTTTTCATGTGTTTTCTAAGATAAAACTGCATATTTATGACTATTTTAAGCAACTGATAACCTAAGAAAAATGTAGAAGCTGAACAATAAGTAGGTGTAATATATCTGTCCAGGTATGACATTTTAAGACCTTTAGTGATTGCAGCTTAACCTCACAAACTATTTCCTCTGTTCTCAGGGCTAATTTGGATTATTTGGCCTGTGAATTTTATCATCCTAATTTACTAATGTTTGTTACCGTGTTTATTAAAATTTGCTTATTGTATACTGTGTAGAGAGCAGGATCCAATGAAGACATTATATTCTTCATTGTATTCATTTAAATCTTTACCCATTTTAACTTTTATGTCAGAATAGCTAGTTCCTTTATGTATCTACAAGCCAGTTAATTATTTATTGAGGATTTTAGTTTCCTATTATTACTTTTTAGTTTAATCAGCTTTCTATTTTCCCTTATCAGATTTCTAATACCCTTCTTAAATCAAGAGTGAATAGTCCAAAGAGCAGTCAGGGTTCTGGACTGGAGAGGGAGGGGGAGAGGAGTGGGGGTAGGGGGAGAAGGGTGGGAGGAGGGGGAAAAGGGTGGGAGGAGGGGGAGGGAAATGGGAGGCTGGGAGGAGGTGGAAACTTGTTTTTTTTTCTCCTTTTCTCAATTAAAAAAATGGAAAAAAAATAAAGTAAAACTGAGAAAAAAAAAGAGTGAATAAAATGTATTTTAAGTAACTTTACTCTGATAAACCAGATATATGCTGACCTAACTGTAGAGCTCTTCTGGTAACTAATGCTCACAGACATGCCCAGATTGTAGAAATTTGCTGTGTTGCACAAAATGCAACTGTTAGTGCATTAATGTTTATGTCCACATCATTGGATTTGCATTTCTAAAGAGAACCATCTTAATCCTTAGCCAAATTGGTCACAGAGCTATAAATAACAAAAGATAGGGCTGAAAAATTGCTTTATAAACTAGTTTTTCCAAAACCTGTGGTCTTAGACCACCACTCTGTTTTCCAGTGGCTAGGAGAATGGGAAGTGACCCTGATGAAGGAAGGTATCTTCATTCATTTATTCATTCAGGAACTCATTTATTCATTTTTTTTTTTTTTTAGAAACAGTTTTCACCGTGTCCTCAAGGCTGATGTCAAATTCTTGGTCTTTCAAAAGAAAAAAGAGTTGCATCATATAAACACTGCAGTGAAATAACAGCCAACTTAACATGCTAATATTCAAAGTATTGTTGGGAAACATAAAAAAATAGACTTAAAATAAATAAGTGACTTAAAAGTCATAGTGAAGCATTATGGTCCCCTTACTTATTGGCCCATGATTCGGTTTGAAATAACTAGAAATCACAAGAGTAGGAAACTTGTTTTTTTAAAAGTGAGGAGTGGGCATTGGGGTTGGGTGCATTTGCACATGTTTTGGCTAGAAGTTGACTTTGAGTTTCTTCCTCAATCACTGCACATTTTCTTTTTTAATGTGTGATTTAACAAATTTTCTGTCTAAAACTGGTGGTGTTTGTCAGCTGTGAAGTCTTAAGATGGTAAATAGAAACCGGACTTGAACTTCATTAAAATTTATCCTTTATTCTTCATTACTATTTAATTCTTTTAAAAAACAGGAGTGTTTTGGTGTAGCATAACCCTGATTTCTGCAGAATATCCTACTTTAAATTTTTTTAATTCAGTATACATCAGCCTTAAAGAAAGTATGCATGTTTTTGAGATAAAATGTAAGAATCTAGATAATGAGAAATCTTAGTAGTCTTCAGAAAGCCTCACACTTGTCCAATTATAGATCTAAGGAGTTATTTGTGGTTCAAGGGTGATTTACTAATTTATCAGATGTAAGTAACGTGGGCTTTCCTAAATACTGCCAGTTTCCATTATATATAACTGAATAGGTCATAATTCTGTTCACAACTTTTGGGCTTTGTTTTTTGTTTTTTTTCAAGACAGGGTTTCTTTGTAGTTTTGGAGCCTGTCCTGGAAAGTAGCTCTTGTAGACCAGGCTGGTCTTGAACTCACAGAGATCCGCCTGCCTCTGCCTCCCAAGTGGTAGTATTAAATGTGTGTGCCACCACCACTCGGCCTGTTCACATCTTTTCACAGGTAGAAGTAGTGTGGCCATCCTTTTAAAAGGGTTCTTTAAGTATCTTAAGTTTTTGGTATTTAGTTCTTAATGAAACTTTAAATTACATTCACCCAGTGAAGTTTTCTGTGTTTTTATACTTCGTGTCCATCTTGTGTGTGTTCTAGGGTGAGTGATGAAAAGGATGCCCGAGGTTATCTTCAGGCCTTAGCTTCTAAAATGACTGAAGAATTGGAAGCGTTAAGAAATTCCAGCTTGGGGACACGAGCAACAGTAAGCACTGCCATTTCACCTGGAAGCTTACCTCTCTTGAAAGCAGAAAGCATGTAATCTAATTGTACCACTTTTCCCAGGCTTTCACTTGCTGTAAAAGTTTTCATGAAAAATAAGTTAGTTGAGGTCTTTTCCAGTTTAAGAAAATATAAAATGTCACTGTTAGCTGTTATTTTATAGCTAGCCATTCGTTATTGAAGGAGCTGAAAAGAGAAACCAGTACTTATGTTCATTTATACATATTTATTGTTGTTTCTAGATTTAATGAAAAATGCATTTCACAAATTATGTGCCAGTTCCACTCAGTTTTAGTGATATGGCTTATAAAATAGCTTCTAGATTCACTTGTATTACGAAATTTAAATGTTAAGAATAAAATAGGAAGGAACTAAGGCATAATCATATTATTCTATAGGATATGCCCTGGAAAATGCGTCGTTTTGCAAAACTGGACATGTCAGCTAGACTAGAGTTGCAATCAGCTCTGGATGCAGAAATTAGAGCAAAGCAGGCCATCCAGGAAGAACTGAATAAGGTTAAAGCATCAAACATTATAACTGAATGGTAAGGATCAATAATTTCATCTTATTACAATAGTTTATAAGTTTGTTGGAAAGTATTTGAAAAGCAGTTACGTGTTTAGCTGCCTATCTGCTGTTTTGTTTGTTTTTGTTTTTTAAATAAAAAGTGATGCACATGTGGTTGAAAATACAACTGAGTAGTATAATGCTTGCCTGGCGTGCCCAAGGCCCTGGGGCTGATCCCCAGCTCTGCTCCCCACCAACAAAAGTGATAACAGCTTTGGGATAATGACTCAGTCAATAAAGTGTGTATCTTGTAAGCATGAAGACCTAGCATTTGATCTCTGATCCTCACATCCAAAAAAGGGGGAGGGGCGGGGGAGATGGGAGCCATGGCATCTGCTTGGAATCCCAGAATCCCCGGGCTGGAAAGGCAAGGACAGGAGGGCTCCCGGACCTTAGTAGCCATCTAGCCAGATCAGTGCACTCCAAAGTCAAAGTCAGTGAGAAACTTTGTCTCTGAGACTAAGGTGAAGAACTGTTGAGGAAGACACCTGCTGCTGACCTCTGCCCTTCACATTCATGCACACACCCAGACACATACATACAAATACGCTATGTGGTGGCACACATCTTTAATCCCAGCACTTGAAAGGTAGAGAAGAAGGATCTCTGTGAGTTTCAGGCCAGCCTAGTCTACAGAGCTAGTTCCAGGACAGGCACCAAAGCAACACAGAGAAACCCTGTCTCGAGAAACCAAGGGAATAAACAAACAAACAAAAAACACAAATGCACACAAAATGCACACACACACAGTGCACACACACCCACACACACAAAGTACACATATACCCAGACACATACACACAAATACACACAAAGTGCATGCACACACTCAGACACACATAAAGTGTACACACACCCAGACACATATACACCAAGTGCAAATACACCCAGACACATACACACAAATGCACACAAAATACACATCCAGACACATGCATAGACATACACACAAAGTGCACATGCATCCAGACACATACACACAAGTGCACATATTTCCAGACACATACACACAAATGTATACAAAGTGCTCATGCACCCAGATACATATACACAAAGTGCACACACACCCAGAAACATACACACAAAGTGCACACACACCCAGACACATACACATAAAGTGTACACACACCAGACACATATACACAAATGTACACAAAATCCACACACACCCAGACAGATGCACAAATGTATACAAAGTGCACATGCACCCAGACACATGCATACAAATACACACAAAATGCACACACACAAAGACACATTTACTCAAATATGCACAAAAAAGTGGTGCAGAAAACATTGTGCAGATTTGAAAAGGAAAAAATGTAATTCAAGTGAAAGTCTCATACAGTCTTGTTTTCTTTAGGCTTATCCATAGATGAATTATTATTTTCAAATAACATTTCATTCTTTATTCTTTCTTCTCCTTATTTGTAAAGTTTAGTTGACTCAAATTTTATTCTATTAAATCTGAAATCCTCTCATATTCTGTATAGACTTCAGCTTTACTGTCAGAACAAAATACAAACACCTGAAAATTGCAGCTCTACCTTAGGTCTTTTACGAATGATCATTTTATCAATGTTAAGTTTTGTAGATTTCTTGTTTTATTTTGGTTTGGTTTGTGTTTGGTTTTTTCAAGAAGTTAAATTTTGTAATGATGAATTAATTATGATTATTTTCCAGATTCCTTTATTTTTTAAAAATAAGCAAACTCCTGGTGTCCAGGGAAGTTAGCTAGTAAACATAGCTTGTCTCAATTCTTGTCACAAGAGCAGCAAATTCTATTTCACATATAGAAAATAATAAACTGAAGCCGGGCGGTGGTGGCGCACGCCTTTAATCCCAGCACTCGGGAGGCGGAGGCAGGCGGATCTCTGTGAGTTCGAGGCCAACCTGGTCTACAAGAGCTAGATCCAGGACAGGAACCAAAAGCTACGGAGAAACCCTGTCTCGAAAAATCCAAAAAAAAAAAAAAAAGAAAATAATAAACTGAAAAATTGTAATTTGATTAGATATAAAGATGTTTCAAAAATAAGTGTCAGGGCTGGAGTGGTTATGAATATTAACCTACATCAGGCGATGAAAGGAGACAGAGACAGAGACCCACATGGGAACACCGAACAGAAATCTCAAGGTCCAAATCAGGAGCAGAAGGAGACGGAGCACGAGCAAGGAACTCAGGACCACGAGGGGTGCACCCACACACTGAGACAATGGGGATGTTCTATCGGGAACTCACCAAGGCCAGCTGGCCTAGGTCTGAAAAAGCATGGGATAAATCCGGACTAGCTGAACATAGCGGACAATGAGGAATACTGAGAATTCAAGAACAATCACAGTGGGTTTCTGATCCTACTGCACGTACTGGCTTTGTGGGAGCCTAGGCAGTTTGGATGCTCACCTTATGAGACCTGGATAGAGGTGGGCAGTCCTTGGGCTTCCCACAGGTCAGGGAACCCTGATTGCTCTTCGGGCAGATGAGGGAGGGGGACTTGATCGGGGGAGGGGGAGGGAAATGGGAAGCGGTTGCGGGGACGAGGCAGAAATCCTTAATTAATAAATAAATTTAAAAAAAAAGAGTTCTTAATGGTTTTGCAGGAGACAAAGTTTTGATTTTCAGATCAGGCACACAACTGCCTGTAACTCTAGTTCCATAGGATCCAAAGCATTCTGGCCTCCTTAGGTAATTTGAATGCATGTGGTATATACATAAACTCATGCAGGCACACATATAAATACTTGTGGATAAAGATAGATAAATCTTTGAAAAAATAGTTAGCAGTAACAATAGTGGGACAACAGTAAATTTACATTAAAAATTAAACTATAAATTTAAAAATTTATCCGGCTCAGAATATCAAAACTTCCACAAGCATGAGAAGAAACATAGGGGTACAGATTTGGTTTTGAGTGGTATGATGCCTTGAGACTTAAGCTGAAGTCATTAATTTCTTACCAAAGGACAGACACACATTCCTGTTGAATTATGACCTTTTGTTATATATAACAGAGATACAAATTAAGTACATTTTAGGTAAATGTACTTATGATGTATTAAAAGAGACTTTTTCTGAATAATATGAGGTAAACCTTGTATAAAGAACTATTGGGTATCATTTTCAGCATTATAATATGAGTAAGTGTCATCTATTTCTTCCTTTACCCAGGACATTGGAGTTTAACATTTGTCATAAAGCAGAGCTGAGGCTGAGTCAGATTGAAAGTTATAAATTCATGTATATGCTCTAGTTACATGGTGATACATGAGCAAGGTCTGACAGAATTCTTAAGTTAGCTGTGGTCCTATAATATTGTTAGATTTAATAATTCAGCTCAGGGTCAGCAAACCCTCCTCTGCTCAGCTCTGTGACCACAGTGCAGCAGCCATCCTGTTCTTACGTGTTTCAGTGCTGGTATCCAGGGAAGTTAGCCAAATACAAAGTTAATTAATTAATCCAGTAATTGATGAGAGCCTTTGTCAGAAAAATAGATTTGGGATAATCCCATATAAAATAACCCTTTACTAGTTGGTATCCAGGGAGTTGAGCCGGTGCTTCACACGTGCCACGCAAATCTTCTGCTCCTTAGCTGCATCTCAGCCCTGGCAGCCATATTCTTTACAGAAATAAATGAGTCTGGCTTGCTTTATTAATTTGTATAATAGCAGGTAACAAGCTGTATTTGTCTTTCATGCAGTAGTTTTTGGTCTCCTACTTTAGCCTCACACGTATTTAAACCAAATAAGCCCAGCTCTACAAAATTAATAAATGACTGTTTTCCTTTTCCTCTTATGTAAGTAAACTGAAGGATTCAGAGAAGAAGAACTTGGAACTACTATCCGAAATCGAGCAGCTGATAAAGGACACCGAAGAGCTTAGATCTGAAAAGGGTATGGGAATGTGTTTGCATCAGGGCTTGCTGAACTGAATGTCCTTTGCTGTGTGAGAAGCACTTAATGTGTAGATGAGGAATTCTTTGCATTAGCAACCACACGAATGCAAACACACACACACTCATGCATATACACGTGCACACATGCACATATGTAGGGCCAAGCTACTATGTATTAGTTAGTATGCATTAGATTAAGAATTTTTAGTTATAGAAGTGGCCGCTTTGCCACAAATTTGTTATTCAGTGTTACAAAATATTTCATGAGGAGTTTTTGAGGTTGGAATTGAAGTATTTTGTGAAGTATTTATAATGTTCTCACATGTCATCATATAAGGTAGGCACTTCAAAAGTAGTGCGGGGATGTTAACATTAGAACTTAGTAGAGAAACTTGAAAAGGGCGAGGTTGTTTTTGAGACAGTCTTGCAGAGTAGCCCATGGTGTTCTTGAATTCAGGATCGAATTCTCTTGCCCCTTCCCCTAAGTGCTGGAACTACTTTTATTAACACTTTTTATGTGCCTGCAATGTACAAAATTATATGGGTACAGGAAGGACAGTCAGGGAAACAATATAAAATAACTAATTAAATATTAATTATTTTAGTAGGAATTATTTGGGTGTTTGTTATGTTTTTCCAGTTTGATGATTACATTGCTTGTCCTATGTGATTTCCCAGATTTTATTAGCATTTTCTTGAGAACTTCCATTTTTCTTTTCACATGGAATTAGCTCAGAGTATATCATATCCCTATGATATGAACTTGTTATGCAACTTTTCCATAATATAAACATTAAGAGTGGATGATTTAGTAAAAATAAATTCAGAGTGTGACTTAGTAAAGGGTTATTTTATATGGGATTATCCAAAATCTATTTTTCTGACAAAGGCTCTCATCAATTACTGGATTAATTAATTAACTTTGTATTTGGCTATGGATTACTCTCTCTCATTTTCCATCTCCATAACACAGTGAGGGATAAAGCTGGTTGGCCTCTGTGTCCACTTACACTGTGGAGAATGGAGTGATCAGCCACATAAAGGGATTTGCAGTACATGATGTTACAGTTTTGTGTCCTTGTTGATTGACTTTCTTCATGAGCAAAAGTGAATAGGAATAAAAAAATAAGCCATCCTGCTAAAATGATCATGCTTGATTTTAATTCATGAACAGTGGAGGAGAGATATATTAAGGAAGAAAAACAGTATGTAACACATGAGTGACCTTGTGGTGCTAAAAGCAATTCAACAAGAATGACACCTGTGCCAAATAAAACTGGCACATCCAATTGACTGCATTATTTTTAGATTATATCTAAACTTAAAAAAGGACTTTTAACCTTATAGCATATTGCTTTATGAAAGCATGTTAAGGGCTTTTTTATTCAGAATATTCCAAAATAAAATTTCATGTTACAATATAATATAATGTGCTATTTAAATATGTTTACAAAATAAGGGCAAGACCTTTTCTTTTTTTAAAAAATATTTATTAATTTATTATGTATACAATATTCTGTCTGTGTGTATGCCTGCAGGCCCGAGAGGGCACCAGACCCCATTACAGATGGTTGTGAGCCACCATGTGGTTGCTGGGAATTGAACTCAGGACCTTTGGAAGAGCAGGCAATGCTCTTAACCTCTGAGCCATCTCTCCAGCCCCGGCAAGACCTTTTCTATACTTTGTTTATTACTATTTTATCCTCAGTATCTAGTAAAGAATCTGCTACAATATAGGCTCTTTTAAAAACATTTGTTTGTGTTATGGTGTGGGCTGTGTGTGCATGTCATTGCACACATATAGAGGTTAGAGATTGACTCTTAGGAGTTAGTTTTCTCTTTCACCATGTGGGTCCTAGAGATTCAACTCAGGTCTTCATGCTTGGCAGCAAGAGCCTTTAGCTGCCAAATCATCTCAGCTGTTCATGGTAAAGTCATCATAAATATTTGTTTGCTAAATAAATTTCAGAACTGCCTATTTGATAACTATGATATATCAGAATAATAGTAAGAAGCACATAAGTCAGTGATGGGGAGATGACTCACTGTGTCATATGCTCACTTCACAAACATGAGGACCTGAGCTCGGTTTCTGAGCACCCACATTCCCGTCATCCAGGGGTGGCAGCATGCACCTATAATTGCAGCAGAGCAGAGAGAGACAAAAGAAAAAAATCCCTGGAGCTTGCTGACAGCCATTCTAAACAGATGGTGAGCTCTAGTCTTAGTGATGTTTCAAAAACAAAATGGAAGCCGGGTGGTGGTGGCACATGCCTTTAATTCCAGAACTTGGAAAGCAGAGGCAGGTGGATATCAGTGAGTTCAAGGCCAGCCTGGTCTACAAAGTGAGTTCCAGGACAGATAGGGCTGTTACACACCGAAACTCTGTCTCTAAAAACAAAACAAACAAATAGACAAACCAAAAACAAAATAGAGACCAATAAAACAAGACAACTGACTACTGACCTCTAAATGCACATATGTGGGTATGCACACAAATACAGTTGCAGAGAATGCCTGCCTTGTGCTAGATGGGTCTGGGGGGAGAAACACAAAGAGTTGATAACTCTTCAAGATGGAAAAGTCAAAGTTGTGTAGTAAGGGCTAGAAAGATGGCTCAGCAGTTCCAAGCACTGGCTATTTTTCTAGAGGACTCAGGTTTAATCTTCAGCACCCACGTGATGGTTCAAAACATTCTATAACTCCAGTCCCAGGGTTCTCATGCCCTCTTCTGGCCTCCTTAAGAACTGCATCCATGTAGTGCACAGACATACATGAAGGAAAAACATTCATATACACAAAAAAAATTATAAAACTTTTAAATTGCATGATACGCTGTTTCTATTTTATCTTCCCTAGTGTTTATCATCATTTCTATGTTTTGAGAATTGTTTTGAGATTATGTATTTAAACTGTCATAGTCAAAAGGTATATATACATTTTAAAAAAAATCTTCTGAGGGGCTGGAGAGATGGCTTAGAGGTTAAGAGCACTGACTGCTCTTCCAGAGGTCCTGAGTTCAATTCCCAGCAACCACATGGTGGCTCACAGCCATCTGTAATGAGATCTGGTGCCCTCTTCTGGCATGCAAGCATACATGGAAGGAATGTTGTATATATAATAAATAAATAAATCTTTAAAAAAAACCAAATCCCTTTAAAACAAAATCATCTGAGAAAAGCTAAATTTTGGATTCCTCCTTCTTCAGTAAGCTAATACCTGAGATGGGAAATTAATTAAGTATACTTTTTATCACTGTGTTATTTATGAAATCTTAAAAGATTATTTTTTGAAATGTATTTCAAAAGAGAAACCTTGTTTGGGTGGTAAATAAGTTTAGAAAAATCACAAGTAGAAAAACTTCTGTTTTTTTATTTTTTCAAACTTCCCAAATGATTATATTTTATTTTATTATGGTATACAAGATCAGTGATTCTCAATCTTCCTAAAGCTGCTACCCTTTAATACAGTTCCTCATGTTGTGGTGACCCCTACCATAAATTTATTTTGTTGCTACTTCATAACTTGTAATTTTGCTACTGTTTTGAATCATGATATAAATATCTGATATGTGACCCCTGTGAAAGGATCCTTCAACTCCCAAAGGGGTCACGACCCACAGGTTGAGAACCACTGTCGCTGTACTAGAGAGAAAGAATTTTGTTAACTGTTGACTTAGAGAACTATCATGGAAACTAGTCTAATTTAACCGTTGTGTCTTGGAAACACTAATATATTTTGCTTTTTTAAAATATGTAAAGTTAATATAGTAGTTTTATTTTTAAATACTTCAATAGATTGAGACAAGAAAGGTTATCCGTGAAAATGAGTTTTAATTGTTCTACTTTAAAAGAAAGTTGCTGCTGTCTTCTAGGTATAGAGCACCAAGACTCACAGCATTCTTTCTTGGCATTTTTGAATACGCCTACCGATGCTCTGGATCAATTTGAAGTAAGTGACTGAATATCTCTGGGTCTGCTTAAAATTTGCTCTGGAATCTAAAATTTACTTGCAGTAAAACTTTTATTGCAGCCATAGTAGAGAGCCCAGAGTGACATAATAAGTGAATAGAAACCTGGAAGGGAGGAATATGTCTGCATTCTTATGGAAAGTCTGACCGCACTTGTGTGTAATATAAACATCCAAGACAGTCTGAAACCCGAGGTTGTTATTAGCCCTAAAAGCAGGCTCAGCCACAAAGGAAGTAGTGAGAGCATGAGCACACAGTAGCTCACCTGGCTCTCGGTCCTGGTCAGTTTCTTAAGAAGTATGCAATAAGGATACTGCTTTTTGATAAAATTGCTAACTTACACTCTTGTTAGCTGTACTCTGAAATAGCGATTATGTAACTCTTTGTCATTCTTTATTATTTAAACATTCTGCTGGAAAAAAAAAGTCACTATAATGTCAAAGTATGTTTTATGTCAGAAAATGTAGTATTGGTTATCATCTTGCTCAGCAGTTGAAGTCCAGAATCAATGTGCGAGTGCTCTGTGCTCTGCTCTAAATGCTGGGAATCCGGCCATGACCACAGTAGACAAAATCGCTTAATTCCAGCAGGAAGAAGTAGAAGCAGAGATTCTGATAACCTGTTTCAGTTGCTATTTTCAGAAGTGTACCATTCATTTAATAATCAGGGATTTGCCAGGAGCTTTCATTTTATTACTTTGGGAACAGTAGCTGAATTTCATTCCTTTGGGAAGGAAGAATCATTCTTTGAAAAGTAGCCCTCGGTTCCCTGACAACAGTGACAGTGACTGCTTTCCTCATTTATTTATGTAACAAATGTCATTTGCCTTTCAATTGTTTTACAAATTTTGATTTATTATTTGTTTGTATTAAATTGCTTCATCCATATTTTCTATTTTTTTATTGCTGAATTCGTTAAATAGGATTCCTTTTCTTCTTCCTCATCCTCACTGATTGATTTTTTGGATGACGTAAGTCTTTAATTTTCAAACCAATGCATCCTTCAGTAAAAAAGATCAGTGAATTGATTTGAAGAATTTACCTAGTAATGCAGTTTTAAAAATATCACTTGGAATTATGTGAACAAAATGCTTCTTTCTTATCTTAAATATAATAGTTTATTATTATTAAACGTAGCAAAGTAAGAAACACTTTTAAAGTTACTTTGGCCTTTGGCGAATCTCTCTGTTTCCATTCTTTGACTAGAATGCTTACTTAAATATTGTCACTATTTATAAGAAATTGTTCACTTCCATTTTTCATGATTTCTGTTTTACTTTCTCCTTTTCTTTTTAGCATCTTGCTGTTTCTGTGTTGGTTTTAAATAAGTCTCTGGAGAAATCAAAAAAGTGACATTTAAAAAGTTAAATTCTCATAATTTTATCAACACAGTAAGAATATAAGTCAATTTTTAATATGGACAGTTTTCTAATGTGGAAAGTAATTTTAAATTAACATGTACACTATATGCCCCATAAATTGGATGCATTAGCATATTCTGTATGAAGTAATCCTGTAGATTTATTAATTTAGAAGTTACTAGTAAGTGTGTAGTACATTCATTTTCTACTTACACTGCCTTTGGATACATTTTCTATTTCACATTATATAACTCAGTAATCCTTGACATAAAATTTGACATCCTAGTGAACATGAACACTTCCCAAAAATTAAAAGATAGAAGACTTTAAGTGTAAATAATATACATAAGTATTTTTAAATGAGGGGAAATCCATTAAATGTTTTGTTCCTAATATTTTGTTAAAGTATAATATATTCAGAAGATGATTTCATAACAGTTTTTCACTGGAAAAAAATCTTGATATAATTTTCTTCAAATTTCTAAACAACATAGATCTAGACTTTTTGGTATGTTTGAAAATGTACCAAAACCTGTTTCTCCAAAATGGAATTTGAGTGGGGGGGAGGGGAAGAAGGGTGGGAGGAGGGGGAGGGAAATGGGAGGCTGGGAGGAGGGGGCAACTTTTTTTTCCTTTTCTCAATAAAAAAAAAGAAAAAAAAGGAAAAAGAAAAAAAACAAAATGGAATTTTTTGTTGTTGTTTCTAAAACAGTAAATTATGCTGGATGATTCTATAATGTAATTGAAAGATAACTGTCTTTGAAAAATGTGAGAATACATGTTGTAATCTGCTGTTTGGTATGTAAAACAGTGTGGTGTTTTTATTGTTGACATTAGAAAGAATGAAGAGAAAGTTTGAGTTAAATTGTGGAGTTCATTTTGCTGATAAATTTTTTTCACTTTTCCTTAACAAACTCTTGCCTTCATCTTTTTCTTTCCCTTATACTCTTAGATTATACAACACTGTGTATTTCAGCAAACTCTTCTCCATAGAGATGTGTGAAGAGTATCTCCTCTGCCAGGCCCCTGCTCTCAGGAGCACTCTGGGATTGTTCCTCTGGGTGTAATGGAAGTGCACCAAGTCAAGGCCACTTCCTACTTTCCTTTTCCCTTTCTGATCCTTCAACCACTGCTGTGCAGCAGAAGCTCCTCAAACATAGAGCTGAATTTTATAGTAGTGCAGAAGAATTCTTAGTGCACAGTGAAAAGGAGCTAAGCACAAAAAGCTGCTGAGTCAATGCTCATGTTCTGACTTTCTCAAGGCATGATGTTGCTGATTCTTCTGTCCTTTCATTGTTCTGGTAAAGCTCATAAGCTGGCTCTTCCACTTTCTAGAGTGGTGCTTGAAAGAAATTACCTGGCCTCTCAGTACCTACATTTGCTTATCTGACAAATAGTTATGCTATAGTACTGCTCTCATAAAGTGCTAGAATATTTATAGAAATCGTATCATGCCTTCAAGGATGTTAGGGTATTTTCTTGCTAGGCAGTCCTCTTTTCCTCCTCTTTAGCTTCATTTCTCGTCTACCAGTGTGACCTCACTTCAGTGCTTCCTTCTGTCTTTACACCTTAGCCTTCCTCTGGCTAAGAACACGAACCACAGCATCTTCTTTGGAGTTGTCGAATCCCATGACTACTTGGAAATGATCTTATTTTCTGCTAGAGGGAGGGCTAGCACTAAGCTCCCATTTAAAAAAAATTATTCTTAATTTTTACTTTATAATATAACCCTCGTGTTTCTTTTGTTTATTGTTCATAACTATGACTCTGATTCCCAGTGTTAGCAATTCATTCATTTTATCATTAAAGTCATAGTAAAATTGTTTCAGTAGTAGCATTAAGTCTTTGATGTGTTCATGTTCCATATCCAAGATACTTTAAAATCCAAGTTCAGTAGCCCCCATTGTTAAGCATTTAGAGTTTTTAAGGAATAACTGAATCTAGATTACTCTTTATCCTAGATATGGTATTATTATGCATCAGGCTTATTGTGTGGGACCTGCATTAAGTAGGTTCTTGTGCTTAACTAACCCTAAATCCCATCCTTCTGGTCATCCCCTTCTGTCCTCTGTTATCACTATAGAAGAGATTATTGAAGAACATCTAATTGCAGCTCAACCTTGCATGTTTAGAAGAAGGTTTGTGTTAAGCATAATTGCGAGTTTAATTTGGTGTTGTGTCTACATAACATCCGTGTTCTCCACACCCCTCCACACACAGGACCGCTGTTACCTTCAGGATTCTCAGTTTTACTTCTCATAGGTCCTCTCCAAATCTGCCTTCTGCTCTTCTACTATTTTTATCCTGTAATTTGGGCCTATTAAAACTATCATTTCATTATTTAGAACAACACAGAATCATTTTCCCATTCATGATTTTTCCTTAGTTTGTTTTGTCTGTTTCTTATATTTTGGCAAACAGGAGAAATGGGTTATCTCAACAGGCAGAGTTTAGGCATAAACTTTAGCCTCATATAAAATCTTACTGAGGTGATCCAGAATATCGATCTAAGTCATGGTTCCCCCTTCACTAGTGTCTTGATTTTACTGTCCTTTTCACCCGTTCTCTTTTACATTCTCTCATAGCTGATCTCAAGGTGAAGATGAGGTCAGGGTGGAAGATTAGAACTATGTTTTTGTTTTATATATTGTCATTACTGATGATTTCTAAGGTAGCTCAAAACATTTTAAAAATCATCTTTAAAAAGAGGAGAGTAGTAGATGTATAAAGCAAATTTGCTTAATTGTTTATTTTGTGGTTGATTTGTTGGAATGGGTACTAGGGCTCAAATAAGTATTTTATGGCAAACAGTAGCAAAAATAAATAGATTTGTTGTTGTTGAAATTGTCCACTTCTCGATAGAATGTTGCCATGTGGATCACACAATACCTGTGCCAATGAAAACCTCATCAGAGTTAGACCACATCTGAGCAGTTGTTTCCTTACCGTTTTTATCCTACAGTTTTCCTGGATATATATGTACTTGGATGTATCAAAACAGTGGCTTTGTTCATATGTCTGTATGCTATGTGTTGATACAGAGGGCCTGGCATCTTCCCTGTGAATATGTGTAACGTGATGTTGTTCTCTCTCTGTTGAAGCGCTCCCCGTCCTGTACTCCAGCTAGCAAAGGCAGACGTGTAAGACTCCCACACTGTGTGCTATCCTAGTGCCTCTGCCTGCCTTTTATTCCTTGCCTCTGACTGCAGAGCCCTTGAGCATGTGCCGTGTGCCAAGTGACCTGTGTCATTTCACCACTGCATGCATGTGCTGCTGCTCTTGCCACCACTCCTCTCCTCCCTGTGTTTCTCTTTTTCCTTCCATTTTAGCTTTGGCCGCAGAGCTTTAGGAATGTTCTTCATGTAAATTTATACAACTAAAACAGTAAGATACCTTTTAGAAGTATTCTTTCTAAATTATTCAGATACAAGGCAAATGAGTCTCTCAGAGAAAATCTGATATCAACAAATATGTGGAGTGCTGAGGCAATTTGTAGACTTCATTGACTAGATCTTACATAGGTCAGTTCTGGAGAAATTGTGAGCTAGGTGTGTTTGTTTAATGCATGTGAGAAGAATTTCCCTAAGTATCTTACACAGTATAGATTTAGGAAAGTAATATTAATAGTAGATTCTTTGTATCATAAGATAATGTCAAGATTTAAACTGTTCTTTCTATGTATTGTTAACACTGAAAATATCTCCTACTGCCAATGCTAGTAGCTCCATGCTTTTTGACTTGGAAGTGTTTGGCCATTTCCTCTCTTACGTATTCTGATACATAGGTGGGAATCTGTATGTGGAAAGGTCTCAGGCTTTTATGAGCCAGCCTCCATCCCAGCACCTTCACACACATCACGGAGAAGTAGTTATTCAATACTGTTTAACTGGACTTCCATGTACTATGTTAAATAGCACTAAAGGACATTCACAGGAGGTACAGCCTTTTTACTTTTGCTTGTCAACTTAGTGTTGAGCAAGCACCCTTATTCCCAAGTTCCTAGACAGGGAAAGTTTGAGATGAAGTACTTTTTGGTTTGTGGTGAACATGCAGGGTAGTGGGATGGCCATTGATTCATGTATTCCTTCTGAACTGATGAAGGGTTGACCCGTAATAACACCAGCATTATAAATAATTTTACATGACTGTTTAAAATGAATAAGCTCTTCAGCTGTCGATATTGTACTCACTAGACCTATGAGTTCAGCTGGCCTCTATTAGTTAGAGGTCTATAAAACATTCCTGGTTCTATAGATGTTTTGATTGTTTTTGAAATTTATAGTTAAACGATTAGATATTTGAATTTATCAAACTAATAATAGTATATGGTAACTATTTTGTAATGGGAAGGCTAGCATTTGTCTGTCCATATGTACTAGATTTCAATTATCAGCCTGTGAACTGAATAAATTTATGATGGCTTGTTTTTATAAGGTTATAATTCAGAAAGATTTTTGTTTTATTATTGATTTTGTTATGTAGGAGATTTGGCCACCTAGAACATTTTTTGACTTAGGAAATAAAAAAATATATTGAGGGAAATGATTGCACTATGACTCTTACTCCTAATTCTATGTCTTTATACTTCAGCATCTAAGTAAGCCACCGTTACCCAGAATCTGTGAAAATTGCCTACATTTTTTTTAACCTGTCAATATGACAGCCTTGATTATCTCCTTTTTTTTTTTTTTTTTTTTTTTTTTTTTTTCCCGAGACAGAGTTTCTCCGTAGCTTTTGGTTCCTGTCCTGGAACTAGCTCTTGTAGACCAGGCTGGCCTGGAACTCACAGAGATCCGCCTGCCTCTGCCTCCCAAGTGCTGGGATTAAAGGCGTGCACCACCACCGCCCGGCTGATTATCTCCTTTTCCAGCTTCCTTCAGTTCTTCCTTGGTTTAGTATCTGACTTTTTTTTTTTAATTTGTAAAGTACTATGTTTGTAAAGGGCGTAGTTGGGAATTGTAAATTAGTAGTTAAATGGGAGCATTTTGGTGGCATAGTGATGGAAGAAGGTCATTGGTTAAATAAAGAAACTGCCTTGACCCTGATAGGACAGAAAATTAGGTAGGCGGAGTAAACAGAACAGAATGCTGGGAGGAAGAGGAAGTGAGGCAGATGCACACTCCTCTCTAGGGCAGACACCCGACGCAGGCCAGGTCAGACGTCCTGAATCTTTCCCGGTAAGACTGGTGCTACACAGATTATTAAATATGGGTTAGGCAAGATTGTGAGAATTAGCCATTAAGGGGCTAGAACTAATGGGCCAAGCAGTGTTTAAAAGAATACAGTTTCTGTGTAATTATTTTGGGCAAAGCTAGCTGAGCTGAGTGGTGGGATGCGGCCCGCTGCTCCTATTACTACAGATGTTTTTATTTCAGGAATGCTTCTTGCTAAAATCAAATTTGATAAAAAGTCAATGTATTTAGTTTCAAATTATAGTTCCCAGTGCAAGCAATATATTAGATAAAAGCTGAGTTTTTATTTTGCTCTGTTTTGTTTTTCTTTTTCGAGATAGGGTTTCTCTGTGTTGCTTCAGAGCCTGCCCTGGTACTAGCTCTTGTAGACCAGGCTGGCCTCGAACTCACAGAGATCCACCTGCCTCTACTTCCCAAGTGCTAGGATTAAAGGTGTGTGCCACCACCTCCTGGCACTAGATGCAGCTGTTTTTACATAAATTATCACTTATCATCTATAGCAAATATCAGTCTCTTTTATTTTAAAGCAAACTGCAAACAGGAGTGCTGCTATTTGTGCAACCCTGGCCGTACCAAGATGTCTGAGCACTAGTCTGAGCACATTCAAGATGGATTGTCTTCATTATTGTTCACTGGAAAAACATGCTGTGTGAAATCACTTAAATCAAACAGCTGCCTGGCTCCGGGAAAGAAAAATACTTTTATTTTATTATATAACTTTTAAAAATTTATTATGAGGATAATTTGATAGAAAAATCTTTTTTTTCATTTTTTTTATTATTGAGAAAAGGAAGAAAAAAAAACAAGTTTCCACCTCCTCCCAGCCTCCCATTTCCCTCCCCCTCCTTCCACTCCTTTCCCCCTCCCTCTCCAGTCCACAGAGCAGTCCGGGTTCCCTGCCCTGTGGTAAGTCCTAGGTCCTCCCCCCTCAGTCCATATCTAGGAAGGTGAACATCCAAACTGGCTAGGCTCCCACAAAGCCAGCACATTAAGTAGGATCAAAACCCCGTGCCATTGTCCTTGGCTTCTCATCAGCCCTCATTGTTCGCCATGTTCAGTGAGTCCAGTTTTAACCCATGCTTTTTCAGTCACCAGCTGGCCTTGGTGAGCTCCCAGTAGATCAGCTCCACTGTCTCAATGGGTGGGTGCACCCCTCGTGGTCCCGACTTCTTTGCTCATGTTCTCCCTCCTTCTGCTCCTCATTGGGAGTCAGGAACCATTATATATTTTTTTGCATGACACTGTCATGCATTGTGAACAAAACATACAATATTCAGCTTTTTTGCTTATATATATATATATATATGTATGTATGTATGTACACACACATATATGAGCTAGTAGAACAAAACAATAGAATATAGTAAACATCTCTTAATTCCTACTAATCAGAATAATTCATTAAAATATGTTTACTTAGAGAAAATGAGTTAACAAAAATAGGGAAAGGTATTTTCATTAAAATATCCTTTATCAGTGGATTGTAATTTAAAAGTATTGAGTGAACTTTTTACAGTTAAGATTTATTTCCAAGATCTTCCCTTGAACAATACCAGAATATGCCATCCATTAGTGTTATGTGTTGCTTTTTACTATTTACCTTTTTAATTGTTCTTGTAATCATTAAGATAACTATTAAATTGACATGGCTCTTCTTTTTATGGATATCATATCTTGTGTTTTTTGCTACATCAGTAACTCAACTACTTAGATTTAATGCTGTAATATCTTCAATAGTGTCTAGGGGTTAAGTAAAGAAATAATGATTTTTAAAATGTTAGTTATTTGTGGGGGGGGTGTGTATGAACTCTTGTGAGCTAATTTTAAAATTAATCATAGGCATTTTTAATTCTAGCACATTTAATGAATATCCTGAAGTTTTAATTGAGTTAAGTGCTTTTAAATGTTAAGAATAAACCATTAATTACAAATACATGGTAAGGATTAGGATTTAATTATAGCAAAATTATTAACATCTTGAAAAATGCAGTCCTATTGATGATAATTAAAACTCCGATGAAGATAATATGTGACACTTTTTTCTCATTTATTTTGTTAAGCTGCATTTAAGATAATATTAATAGTGGCAGCAATCCAGAAATTATATGATAGTGAGGTCTGTTTCCTGAGTACTCTGCTTTTGATAGAATTCTTTCAAAAACCCGGAACTTTTTTTTTAAGTTTGATATCCAAATTATTTTTGCCATGAATTTTTTTCATTTTTATTAAGCTTTGTTACTTGTGTTTATGAAGACCACACTTAGAAAGGGGAAATGGTAATTTTTAAACTTCCAATTTTTAAAAAATCCAAACATTATGCTAAATGCTATTCCGCTTCAAAATATTGCTCCAGTGTAGCTACTTGTTTCTTTAAAGAAAACAAAGTTGATTTTTTAAATGAAATTTTTAGTTCAAGAACATACATCTCTAAAAAGCACATATAGTATTTTTGTTGTTCTGTTTTATTATGATTAATACTGGTTTGTCTTTCTAAAATGTAACTGTAGTTCTCAATGTAACCATGGTTTATTAAATACAACTAAGAAGATCATTTTTATTTTTTTCATTTTTGTTCTTTCATTGTCACTAATTAGTGAAAAACTAATCAATAAGAAAAAACAAATTAATACATGGCAAAGAATCTTCAAAAGAACAAAGAGATTTATATTAAAGGGTTCAAGAGTTATTTGAGTAGGCAATTACAAATTAAACTGATAATGGATCATTTTCTTTCTCTGGTATCTCACTGCCATGTCACATTGTCATGGGATCACAAAACATGCTGATCACAAAACACAAAAAATGTTCCAGAACCCGACTCTGGTTTGATTCCTGAGACATAGAATGTCCTTAATGGGAAACCTCTGTTTGCCCACATACCAATAAAATGGTGTGACTGCATGTTCTGATTCTGGTGCTGGACAGTATAGTACAGTACTCACTTCTGT